TGTTTCTTTTATTATCAAGCCTCACAATTAATATATTTTCAAAATTCGTCTCACTCAAATTACATCTATAAGGAGATAGTATAAATTTAATTGTTGAAAAACATCTTTTCACACTAACTTGGGTAGCCGGCACTGCCAATATGATATTAGATTTGACATGTCATTTATAATAATATTTTGGATTTGATTTTTCTCTAAGCATTATAATTTATAAACTTGAAATATTTAAAAAATGTTGTAAAATGACAATATACTAAAGTTTATAAAAATTAGGGCAGACACTTGTGATCAGGGTTGCCAGGTCAAAATTTTCAAATTGCGGGAGAAATATGAAAATTGTGGTAGAAATATAAAAATTGCTAAAAAAAATTTTTGAGGGCCTATCCGCCTATTATTTTTTATAATTAGTTTATATGAATACGAAGTTGGTAACTATTTTTCAAAATAAAATAACATCTTGATTTATTAATATATATTAATTTATAAAAAATACCAACGATCATTTTTAAATATAAAAGAATGTAAACAAGATAAAATTTTATAAAAAAAACAATTTTAATTTTACAATTAAAAATATATTATTTGCGGATGTCCCTCAAAACTGCAATTGGAAATATACCGTGTGTGTGTATAACATTATAGGAATAGGCGCTTAATTATCACTTATCACGTTTAAATACATAATAAGGTACTTCAAAAATAAGAAATAATACAGATGCAACTACTGTTGCGGTAATTGTAATCACTTACAGTGTTGTGATGATTTAATGAAACATATTGACGATTAAATTAAACCCATCCATATAAAATTATAATCTTTGCAAAAATAATTAAAATAACAAAAGGAATAATAAAAGAAATTTCAATAATGCTTTGTCTATATTTTAATTATTTTTGCAAAGATTATAATTTTATATGGATGGGTTTTATAATCGTCAATATGTTTCATTAAATCATCACAACAATGAATCTTGTAGTACAACGTTCACAGAGAAATGTTGGTAGAATCTTTTTCCCATAATATTTAACAACTCTAATGTAAATGAAAACTATACTTGTAGAACAGAAATGAGCAAGTCTATCATCAATGTTCTAGGACCTAAATCCAGGAGGTCAATTCTTGACGATTTGAAAGATGGGCATACATTTGCAATTCTAACAGATGAATAATATTTCCCTTGATCCTCAGCTATTTCAACAAAATTAAGGTCGTTTCAATAAAACTATTAAATTTTTTCCCCTCAAATAGTAAAAAATCCAATGGTAAATATAGTAGATTCGAGATTATCAATAAATAGCATGTCAGTTTTCTGATTTGATAATGCCTCAGTGAATTTGGTAAAAACAGAGTGTATTTAAAGAATTGAGTCATCACAATGTTGGTTGCGATATCCTAATACCCGCCATCGTAGAATTTTAAAATTTTATAAACCGTTAAAAAAATATTTCTTAAATAAAGATTATAAAAGCTGTCCTAATAATTTGAAAATTTTTTTCAATAATGAATGGCAGAGGTATATTTAGGAATGATTTCACATGTAGGAAATCTATTACATGCTGTTAATGTGTAGTTGCAATCAGAAGAATCTTAACAAAGATTCACAAAATTATGCTGCAGATGTGTTCATCTTTACAGTTAATTATTGACAGTAAATTTTATGGCGCCATTGCTAAAACTTAATTAAAATTTATTTGAGATTTAAATAATAGAATTAAATGTATACCGTCGTTATAGAGATCTTTATCAAATTTCTGGCATGACATATATATTTGTTTAACCATTAGCTCGGCCTCTAATGTTGTTAAAGCAATCCGATTTCTCTCCTTTTTCCAGACAGTCTTCATCAGGCTAAAAATGCATTCGGGTGAAGCATCAGAATGTGGTAAGGAGAAGACATACTCATATATTTTTTACAAGCATAGGGATTTATCGTTATTACGAAAAAATTCTATCCATTTCTCCTTTGCTTTTAGACCATCTAACTAAGTATTTTGGCGAATCATAAAAAATAGAGAGAATTACAATCTCCTCAAACAAGACATCAAGGTCTTTCGGTATTTTTAATATATTTATTAAATTATAAAAACCATCAATTGATGGTTTCTATTTCAAGGTCATATTATTAATACTTTTGTAAATAGAGTTATTAAAATCAAATTTGTAAATATTCTAAAATTGTCCTAATAAAAATATTTGCTTCATTTAAAAATGTATTAATTAGAATATTATTTGAACATTTTAATATAATAATTTTGACAATAGCGCCATTTTTAACTGTAGAGATGAACAGAGCTGTAGCATGATTTTGTGAATCTTTTTTAATAAAGAATATTATGATTGCAACTGAATATTAATTGCATGATGTAGATTTCCTACATGTGAAATGAATCCCAAATCAAAATTTTAGGACAGCTTTTAAAATCTCTATTTAAGAAGTATTTTTTAAGGGTTTGTAAAATTTTAAAATTCAATCGATGGCAGGTATTAATGATAACCACCTGATAGGTATATATCGCAACAACTCACACCATTCCAAGGACAACTTCACCAACTTATTTAATTCATTAACTCTTTTAGTTGATGAACTAAATTCGTTAAAACATCACATCACAATTATTTCGACATCCACAGATAGTACATTCATTGCCTTCTTCAAGAATTATGTAGTATATGGCATATACAGCCAATTGGTATTAATTCATTATTGTACTGCCTCAATTCTCTAACTTTGGTTTTTATCATAATTTACAGAGGCATTATCAGCGCAGAAAGCTGACATGCAAATCACTGGTAACCCTGAATCAGCTATATTTACCATTATGTGGCTATCTACATTGTTGGATTTTTCACTATCCGAGGAAAAAAATTTAACATTTTTATTGAAATGTTCTTATTCTTGTTAAAATAGCAAGGGATCGAGGGAAATGTTTTAATATTTCCCTTGATGCATCTGTTAGAATTGCATATAGATGCCCATCTTTCAAATCGTCTAGAATTGACCTCTAGGATTCTGATACTAAAACACTTGTGATAGCCTTGCTCATTTTTGTTCTGCCACAAGTAAGGTTTGCACTTATATTGGAGTTGTTATATATCATGAGAAAAAGATTCTACGCACATTGTGATGATGTAGCTCTGTGAATGTTGGACTACATGATAGATATATACAATTTCCTCAAATGTAGTTGCATCTGTATTATTTATTATTTTTGAGAATAATTTTGTATTGCAATCGATGTTGATATACTCCCCTATACTGACTTATATGAATGAAAGATTTATTATTGGATAAAAATAAAACAGGATAGAAAGAAATTTACAAACTAGACATGTTTTTCGAATAAATATTTTAAATTTATTTTAAAAATATAAAAATAATCAATTAATGTCTCTCAAAACTATTATTTATATATTAAAAACGTTAAAACACTAAAAATAAATTGCGGGAGAAATTAAAAAATTGCGATAGATTTTTACGGGAGATTTCCAATTGCGGTAGTTTTGTGGGAGAGAGATGTCCGCGTGTAAACTAAAAAATTGGGAGAGTCTCTTGCTGATGGGGGGAGACATGGCAATCCTGCATGTGATTGAAGATAATCTTTAAAATAATTCAAATATAATTGAAATTTTTTTAATATACTAATAATAACTTACATATTATTTTATAAGAATAAAATCATGAGGCTCGAACCGGTTCAGAGGCATATTAGCGGTTCGGTTCAGGTTCAGCTAGAAATTTTTTTAGCGGTTTAGGTTCGATTCAGGTTTGATAAAAAATACCGGTTTTTAGCGGTTTAATGGTTCGGTTTGGATCCCTGCTAATTATGACTATGCAGTTTAGGTCAATTTATAATTCATATGTTAATATAAAAATTAACAACTAGGCACTATTTTAAAATGGACAATTTTAAAACACAATTAGAACTTTTTATATACATTAACTAAGTAATGCACGAAAATTTATGTTAAGAATAAAAAGCTGTAAAGATTTTTTAAAAATATATAAATTCAAATTCAAATTGCCTGTTAAATAAAAATAGCTAACAAAATAAATCTAACCTTAATATTTTACATTATTAGAAATTGGCCAATATTTTTATCAAGTAATTATTAAGCTTTTATCAAATATATATTTTTATTACTAATTTTACCATCTTGTAATAATATTAGTATTCAAGAATCCATAATTTTGTGGAAATAAAATACATGAAACATGAAAAATGCAATTTCCATATATGCGATTCAATTCATTATTAACATATTTATATTTTAACTCGTTACCATTGCTGGTTACACCTTCGTTAAACTTATCCATTCGTTTTGGCGTATGAACCAAGAAAGAAAGATATAATTTTTTCCTTATGTGGCCTAATACTTTCATTTCCCGCCATTAGCGTAATCTTGAGGAGTAACTGGGATTCCTTCTCATATTTGTCAGGTGGTTAAGTACCACTAATAAACCCCCCCCCCCCAACACTTCCCCAGGTTCCTTCTCCCTTAAAAAAAATATTATGTTAACTATATTTAAAAAAAAATAGTTGTAAGTTAATAATTATTTAAGATAATGGCTTTTACTATTCCGAAAATTTTTTTCTAATTAAATATAAAACAAGAATATTTTATTAATACTGGTCATGTTCTTAAAAGAGAGGCCTATAAATATCCAAATTTATCATAATAAAAACAACCTAAAGATCTCTTCTAGAAACACGTACATTTTTATTAATTCATAGCAGCTTCAAATATTTAAATGTAACTAACAATCCACCTCTGTTCTGCACAACGAAGGGTATTATACTGAGCAGTCAGCTGAACCTAAAAAATATTCCTCTAAATTTGTATATAGCCATAATTTTATGGTAAATTACATGCTGTTAATATCTGTTACATTTATTTATTATCATATAAGTGTTAAAATATTTATGCATTAAGTTCTTCTCAATCATTAAATTATTCGTTTTTATAAATCTTTACTATTTTATATTTCGTCATTTTATAATTCTATATTTATACCTTAGAAATTGTACATCAAATGTCATTCCGCGATTTAAATTAAGCCAAATTTTTTCAACAATCAATGAGCTTAGCCCATCATGTATTTGGCTCAATAGTAGCAGTAGGGTTATCGCCTATTATATTATTCTTCTTCTTAGTTATATTAATTACATCATCTGATAAATCTTATGGATTTCGGCGTTTATTTGTCAAGCTATTGCTACGATTATTTGAGGTATTAAACTTATTTATATGTATTCAATTCAAAATAAACAATTTTTTAAAAATTAATTAGTGGGCTAGTCAAATTCAACATGAAAAACAGCAAACTCACGATCCAGATGATATTGATAAAGATATTATTGACCATTCAAAAAATAACTTAATTAATAATGGAAACAGTAGGTCATCATTATTTCATAAGAGTGCTTCAGCTATCAGGCCTAATAAAAATTGTAATATATTATTAATTTAATATTGTTATTACTAATAATATATGATTAATTGAATATTATTGTGGAATTAACTTTTTCAATTAATTAACAATTCAATGAGTTATAGGAATAATATAAAAATAAAATATAATGGACAGTTTCAAAATATAATGAAGTTCCTAAAATTTCTGCAAAATAAAGACTATTTTGACTGATTATTATGAAATGACATCAATTTATTAATGTGATAAAATGTTTCTACCAAAGTTTGTAGTTTATAACTCTTGGAAATGAAACAATTCTCTTAAAATTTGCAGGAACTAAAACCAGAATTCCTTTAAAATTTACAAAACTATTTTACATGTATTTTTCAAAAATGTCCCAGTCATTTTGAAAGGGGTATTTAAAATTTTTAATTCTTTATGGAATTATAACCCATAAAACCATGCTAACTTTTTAAATATTTGATAACCTAAACCTTTTTAAAAAATGTTAGAATTTAGAACCATCTTTTAGCACAGGTTTTAAACTCTGTTTTGGTTCTTGAAATACAAGTTTTTGATAGGGCTATCTGATATTAAATATATTCAAGACATTTCTATTTATTATACATTAACAAAAGTGATTGAAAATAAAACATACTTAACTCTATGCCCAAAATATCAAAAAATTTAATTTAATTTAAACTTATTGCGAAACAATGAAAAATTAAAAATATAGCAAAATAGTTTTTTTTAGAAATATTGTAAAATATTTATAACCGTTATAGTTTTTCTTTGGAAATACGTTTTAGACTAAAATTTTCCTGACAATATTTTGAAACACGGAAAAATTAAATTTATTACAAAATTCAATTTTTTATAAAACTTGATTCAAAAAAAATGAGAGTTATAAAAATGATTATAATAATTAAAAATTTCTAACAAAATAATGTGGCCCCAAAAAATGGTCCCCATATATTTTTCCGGCCCCTTAAATTTAAAAAAAAAATTTGTAATTGATTATTTTTATATTTTTAAAATAAATTTTAAATATTTATTCATAAAACATGTCTTGTTTGTAAATTTCTTCCTATCCTGTTTTATTTTTATCCAGTAATAAATCATCATTCATTCATATTTTATTATTTTCATGTGTGTTTGTGTATTACATTTATAGGCACTTAATTATAGCGTTTAAATTGTACATATTTCAATGATGATTATTTTATTTATTATGGTTCAATCACAATATTATTATCTTTTGAAGGTCTCTGATATAGATCTGGGTGCAAATCATAAAAAACTGGGATTTTCTGAAGCCAATCAAGTGATTACATAAGGCTTGATATATATATATATATATATATGTCATCTAAGGAAACAGTAAATATTTATTAAAATAAAAAAAATCTTATTAAATTTTTACAAAATTTGGTAATTATTGTGCAGTGTTGCTAAACAGCTCGATTGGGTCGATTTTTAAAAATGGTCTGATTAAGATCTTAGACAAAATAATATTATCTTAGCCCGATATAACCAGTTATTTAAAACAGCGGTGAATATTTTAGCAGATAACACCAATTTTGGTAAGCCAACAAATTAACCGTAATCTTTACGATCATAAATCAAAATTTCATGATATTTCTTAACATACAGGAGCTACCTTTCCGTGGGACTGGTTCAACAAAAATTATGGATGCTGCAAATGTAGAAACCATAATTTATTCTTTCTGGACTATTTATAGCAATGTTTCCACAAACCATCCAAAAAGATCCTGAGTTAAATAAAATTACGAAATTTATATACAAAAATACGCTATATACATCACCCAGATTCAAAACGGAGTAATATCTATTATGGTAGATAGGGTGCTTGATTATATTTCAGATTAATATAACAAAAGTGAGATGCTTTGTTTTTGTCTTAAGACTGATGTGACAAAAGATGTTCAGGTTATGAAAACCTGAGCATAATTATTTATATTTTTTCTGGAGAAGTCCAAGAAAATTTAATAGGGATTATTAATTTACAGTGTCTGTCTGCTGAAAGCATTACTAATTGCATTTTAAAGCAACTTAATGAGTTAAATATTAATTCAACGAATATGATAAACCAGGCATATGATAGTTCAAACGTTATGTCTGGCCGAAATGGAGGAGTGCAAACCTTACTTCCAAAAAAATTAATAAAAAAGTACTTTTATACATTGCTACAACCACATGTTGCATCTTGTGGCTCAAAATTTGTATAATAATATTGTTATCATTTCTAATATTTTTAATTTATTCAATGCATTGCATAATTTTTTAGGCGGTTTAACGTATCCTGTAAATATGCAGGCCATACTCTTAAGAGACTTTTAGACCAGATGTGGGCTGGTCATTTAGAAACATCTCGCATCATTTATGTTAATTTTGAGGCTATTTGTGAAGTATTTGTTTACTCTTCTAATAGAACTCTTAATTCAGAGGTTTCCCCTCATGATGTCGAAGCCTCTCGTCTTTTATCTCAATACGTTAATATAAATTACGTTATATTAGCCATTATAATTTATGAGATATTAATAACAATAGATCCACTATATAAGTATCTACAGTCAGTAGGTACTTATCAAGTGGATGCTAAAAATTGTATTGATTCCACGATCAATATATTTAAAATATTTAAGAAGCATAATTCTATTGATTTGATTAGAATAAAGGCTGAAAAACTTTTAGCAAAATTTAATCTCACTCCCCACAAATCTTCAAGCGTACGTAAAGCGCCTATAAATTTCCAAGATTTTTTAGTCGAAACCAAAATTTGATTGCGAAAAAGACTCCAATTGGAGTTCTTTAAAATGGAATTTTGAAATTATTGATTACTTTGTTGATAATTTTTAGATAGATTTACACAAGATGATTATAATCTTCTATCAAGTTTTAATGCATTGTAACCCTTTGATAGTGATTATTTTATATCGGACAAATGGCCCGATTAGAATAATTATTAAACTTAAATATGGAAACTTTACATCATGAAATGAAAATAGCTAAAGGATTATTAGCTGCAGAAGTTAGAGAAACACATAATTTTGAAAATATCCTAAAAATTGTGTATAAAAAAATATCATCATGCATTTAGAGAATTGTATAAATGTTATTTAGCAGCCATCATCATTGGGATACCAACGGCTTCTTGTGTGTTCTTGAGAGTCGAGCACTAGAGGGTCGATGAAAGATCAAAGTAAGCAAAATTTAGTATTTGATGGCTTATGAAAAAAAATTAACACAAAATTTATCCTTTAATTCATTTATGTTTTTAAAAATAAAAATCGTCGTATTATATAGTATTATTTTGTATGTTCATATTATATTATTATTTTATATAACATTAATAATTTTTTAATAAAAATAGCAAAAAATTTCTATGATATGAATGCTTAATTATTTGTTTTATTTATAAAAAATAGCGCCCCCCCCCTAAGTTAGCAGCTGGCCCCCCTAACAGAAAATTCCTGGCTACGGCCCTGAGTCAGTTAAAATCTTAAAACATCGATGTAAAATAAAATATCGATTTTATATAACTATATATTATTATTTAAGAAATTTTTTCATATGGTAGCAGACAAAAGGAAACCAAATATTAAAGGAAAGGTATGATTTACTTTAAAACCTCTAAAAGTTGCTATCTCATTGTTGGCTGTTTTAGTTTAATCCTTTGAGATAAATTTAAACATGTCTTATTTATTGACCACTTCTCAATTCCATCTAATCAAGTGACCAAAACATTTTTACATATAATAGGAAAAATTGCCCACAATAATCTAAGTTAAGCAAAGACAGTAACAAAGGAATTTTTTTATTTTCCCTTGTTCCAGCTATTTTAAAAATAATTTTTTTTGGTTGCTGCCTATTGTTTCTTGGTTGTTAAATCACCAATCTTTGGCTAACTTCAAAATGGCTTAGCAAAATTGTTATAAAAAATTTATTTCAAATTCGGGCCATGTAATAGGAGCCCCATGCACGCATCAGTCATAAAAAGCTTAGCTAAGCCATAATGGAGTTGGCATTGCAATACCCATTCTATTTAGGATTAAAACTGTCTGAAAATACAGGGGCAAATTTTAGGCTTAGCCAAAGCTAGTTTTAAAATTTAATTTTCATGGATTTGGATTTTCAAGTTCTGCCCTAGAGAAAATATAACGCTCCTTTATATGATTTTCCAACTGATTAATTCATAACCATATAATTTAATTTTTAAAAAATCAGCTCGATGGATATGGGTTGGGTTTTCGTATTTTTATAATCGATATGAAACAATATGCATATTCATTATTTTTAATTCTCGGATTTAGTTTAAATTTTTTTGTATAAAATATGGTGAGCACTTTTATATTGTGACCGGCTAATGTGTCGAAAAATTAAATATTTTTTTGGTGGAAAGGAATTAGGCGCAGAGTTTCCTCATCGCTAAAATAAAACGAGAACAAAGTAGAGTCCTACAGGGCTAGCCTGGATGGGCCGGTGAATCATCAGTAAATTATATGGACCTGGTCCAAAGTTATGTTTCCTTCATATTTTTTTCGTTTATTTCCTGATTGTATTTACAATTATAAAATGGATTTAAAAATAAAAAAAATTTATTTTAAAAAAATCAAGAGGTCAGAAATATTTCATATTTATTTTTCATATTATAATTAATTTGTTATAAAATTTATAAATATCAATCATCATGAATTATCGAAGTTGTTGCTGAGTGTTTGAATATAGCGCGTAACATTATAGAGAATAAATATTTTGAGTTTGAAAAATATTTTCTAATTTTATTTATAAGACCGAGCCTTAGATCTAAAAATTTTGCCACCTGTCCTTGAGCATATTCGAATCGATTTTGCAGGTTTATATGTAAATATATATGCCTAAATTTTAGAAAAGCATTTCAGGAGTGTAACTAGACTTTTTAAGTTGTAACTTAAAACGTTTTTTCTGGGTGCTGTGGCATATCCGGGTGTTCGTTCAGTTAGCGACTGGAAAGTAAGTAAGGCTATGTTTAAGTTAATATTTTTTAAAAAGGGTAATTTGAGTATGCATTTAAAAAATTATATTTAAGGTTGTGTTAAATAATTATTCCAACATTTGATTTATTATTATATTTTATTTGTATTCAGATTTCAGATTTAAATTTTTGTCAGATAATTTATAAAAACATATATTAGCCAAAAGTAAATTGGTATAATTCCAAAATGATTCCTTTTGCAAAAAATTTCATTGTGATATTGGCTTTATTTATAAGTATATTAATTTCGTAAATTTTTTAAAATTAATTGTGTTAATGGATGCATAAGGGTATTTTGTAATAGAAAATTAGGTGAACTTTTGAATATCTAAGATTTTAAAGAAACCGAAAGGTAAGGGAACCTTATAAACAATTTCTTCCGGAAAAGTTACAATGATTGGAAATTAATTACTTCCATAAAAATAATTTTGAAACGGATTTGAAATGTTATTTTTTAAACAATAGCTAAATTTTTATCATGATATTATTTAGATTATAATCTATGGAATCTAAAATATTTTTGAATAACTTATATAAAACCTTTAAAATTAAAATGCTAAATATAATCAGCTGTTTTCCTCTATAACCGTAAGAACTAATGACTATGAACTTCCTCTAACAAGATGTTTAAATTCTCTCACAATTAAAGCTTTAAAAATGATATTATGATATAATCATTTTATATTAACTATGCCTACTGAGATAAGACAGTTACGAATTTTTTGTTTTTAAAATTTGTGATATGGAAATTCGAACGGAACAAACCCAAAAATTATCACCACAGGAACGGAACATATTTATTTTAAAAATAACAAAACGCAGAAAATATGCAACGTTTTAAATCCTCGATAAAGAAATCATGCTTGCTATTGACAAGCAAGTGGGATAAGAACAAAAAATTATTAGCTTTCATTTAATAAATATCCGATTCCGGCCCGACGAAGAAATCCTGTCGGGACCGTGTTTAAAATCCAGCCCTAAAAATTTTTTTTTAACATTTAACCTTACCAGATATCTAAATATTGAAACTGGCGTTATCCATTCCAGATTTTTTTTTTGAAAAAGATGGCTGGTAACTATTTAATTTTACTTTTAAACATGAATATGATTTTATTAACTTTGATAGATACGTTGTAAAAACCAAAGTTTCGAACCTATTTTTTACGGTTCTAGTTTCAGTTCCTGAAAATTTTGAAGGAGGTTCCGTTTTCGGTTCTTAGATTAAAAAAAATTCAAATGCTAAATAAACCTTCTAAAATGATTCACACAAAATTTTGAACATCATACACATTTATACATTAGTTGTGCTCTTGTTAGATTCGCTAGAAGTTTTTAAAAGATGTTCTGGTTCGAGTTCCTAGAAATTTCAAGAAAATTTTTGGTTCTTTTATTCGACAACACGGTTCCAAGGGTTTTATGTATTAGGTAAGTGGAAGGTTATTAAAAAAAATCAAGAACAAATCAAAGCAAAAAAAATAAGGATTTTTTGGATAATTTTAAACCAATTTTTTTTAAAAAAATTTATAACATTTTTTGTTTTATCCACTTTTTCTGGATTACTCATAAAATTGACCCCCCCCCCCCCCCTGTTAAAATACCAAAAAATAATTTTATCAAATTAAATTTCTTTCATTATACTATGAATTTCTTTTCATATCTTAGATAATAATATTACCATATTTTCCTTTCAAAAAAGTAGAATTATAAAAATAATTTTTTTTTGCTTTGATGTAGAATTTTTTACTGCAGCCCCTTAAATCTCAATTATAATACAACTTACTTTTTTTAAATAAAAATATTTTTTGATTTAAATAAAAATTTTTTTTGATAGCCTTCAACAAAAACTACTTAATAGAAAAAGACATTCCAACATACGGGCCACAAACGCCCATAGCCCCCGCTGAATCCTTACCTAACTTCCAAGTAGGCGATAATGATGGAGAAGAAGAAATTGAAACCGAAAATAAATATAAACCTCGAAAAGTGAGTCTGGATACCATTGAAATTAAACAAAAGAGAAACCACGTCGATGGTAGGATAGGTTTAACTAGGGAGGCACTCGGGGCTGACAAAAAGAGAGCAGTTAAATCACCGGAAATGAGTAATGGAATGATACCTAGGAGTGATAAGAACAAACCGATCGACGATAAAGTGAACCTACTGCCAGGGAAGCAAACTCCCAACGGTGTCATCAATAAAAATGGTCATCACATGCCGCCACCTAATTACAAAGTTATCAAGGAAAATTTCCAGATACACCACGTACTCGATTACCAACGATTCGGAATAGAGGTTAATATATAGTGCCATTTTTAGATTATTATATGTTTTTATGCCATATATGAGATTTGTTAAGAAATAAAGGAATAGTTATTTATTTATATTTTACTTTGTAAAATCAAAAGGCAATCATAGAAGACGAAGTTACACAGAGATTCCAAGCAGAAGGTAAATTTGTTTACAATAGTTAAAAAGTTTTAATTTTTTTCCCTCTCCTCAAATTTTAAAGAGTTGCCATCTTGGAATCTATTGACTCGAACCAACAAGAATTTCTACTACATCAGGTATTGGTAAAAATTAAAAAGAATAAATATATTTTATAATTATTTGTAATGAGTGACCTGCAGTTTTTGAATGCGATCTGGGTCTTAAAATTAATTTTTACTATTCGAATAAAACCCTCACCTGAAATATAATAAGTAATTTAAGATTGACCTTTTTAGAGATAGGCTATATTATTTTATTTTTTTATGATCATTGGCATTTCTACCTATAAAATAATATATTTTATATTTATATAGCCCGACCTTTACCATCTTATGGGGAATAGGATTTATATTTCGTTACATCTTCTTGTTGCCAGTCAGGTCATAAACAATCAATATTATAATGTAAAATATAATAAATACCAAAGAAAGAAGAAAAAAATTTATATTTTTACCCTGTATTGCATACTGTGTATCTCATTCCACATACCACAAATTATATAATAAATATATTTTAAATAAATTGTATGGTGTGTATTTGAAGCCACAATCCATATCTTCGATTCGAATGTTAATTTGGGCCACGTGATCTATTATTTATTTTTAATTTCGCATTTTATTAAACCCTATTTTTAAAAATGGCTATTTTTTTATAAAATTTTTCTTCTCAATTTTCTACACATTGGAAAAGGATAAATAATATATTTGACAAATTTCAAAACATTAAAATTAGATAAATAAAAGGTAAAAATAAATGTTTATGAAATTATTTTATATATATTTATTATTTTTGATAATTATATTTTGTAATAATCATACGTGGTTTTAAAGACACATTATGCAAATAATGTGTTTTAAAGACACATTATGCAAATAATGTGTTTTAAAGACACATTATACAAATAATGTGTTTTATTTGAGTTTTATATTTTTAGAATTATTATGGTAACATACCTAACGATAGTGAAGTTTCAAATTTAAGTGAAACGTCTGATTTTGAGTTTCTATCAACACAAAATAATGATTTAGGTATATTTAAATTTATGTTCTTATATAATCTATAAATATCTAGATTTCAATGAGACAGATGAATCGGAAGAAGAAGAAAATATCAATAATGAAAAAGAAATCGTTAGGAGAAAAATGGTTTGGAAAAATTGCTTAACATATTTACCGTTAATTATTCCAAAGTGGAAAGGAGAAATTCTAACGGTTGATAAAGTTAAAAAAACCAATATGGATTATTTTAATATATATCTCAATGAATTATTACCTCTTATTGTTTACGAATCAAATTTATATGCCATTCAATGCAATTCCAATAAACCTTTATTTATCGAGAGATGAATTAGATAAATTTATAGGGTTGGAGCAAGTGGCAATGCTGTGCTCGTTTAATTTCTTATATACCGCAGCAAATTAATTATAAATTATTTTTTGATAACTGGTTTTGTTCCCCAAATTTGTTAGTTGTACTCGCTCAAAGAGGGATATTTTGCGCGGCCACGGTTTTTATAGTCAAAACAATAAATTCTTTATTATAAAATTGTTTCCTATATATAGTCTTTTATAATTATGTCATTTAACTACTACTAATATGCAATTACATTGACCTCCATAAGATAATATAAAATGTAAGAAATATATAATTCAAATAGCGTAACCTTTTAAAATATATATAAACATTCAAATATAATATATCTTTCCCACCAAGTTAAGATCTTCTATCAATCTTTTTATTACCAAGTTCAAGTTCATCTATTAATCTTTTTGTTGGCTTTAGATCCCTTGTTGGATAACTCGGTTGCCTTCCTTTTTGACTTGGTTCAATTGGTATTATTGATTTGGTTTCGTCTGGTTCTTTCCTTATTCGTAGTTGATCTGCGTGTTTTCGTACTATTTTATCTTTTTCTTCTACGTTATACGAGAATTTTGATTGTTGATTTATTATTTTACCTTCATGCCATCCTTTTTCAAGTGGATTTTTAAAATCTCTATGTATGCCTTTGTTTAACTGGTCCTGTTTTACTACAGAGGTTTCTTATTTTTCAGTAATTGATGGTTTCACCCAGTCTAATAAAGTATTAAGTCTTCTCCCCATAAATAGTTTGGCAGGTATTCGGCCCGTTGAGGAATGTTCGGAATTTCTATATGTAACTAATATTTCATTAAGGCATTTTTCCCCATCATTTGTTTGTTCTCTATTAGCAAAATACCGATTTTTTATAGTTTGTATGCATCTAATCCGTTACTTCTCAGATGGTATGGTGTAGTTTTTATGTATTGTATATTCTTATTTTTGCACCATTTGTAAAATTCATTTGAAATGAATTGTGGACCATTGTCTGTGACAATTTGACGGATTCCTACCAGCCAATAAAATCCGTCTAGTGGTCCGGCAAAATCTAAATGTACCCTTTCCCAGGGTTGTGCTGGCGGATTCCGGTATACGGCAACTTCTGGTATATCTCTGCGATGTTTTTGACACGTTGACTAATTTTTCGACATCTTTATCTAATTTTTCCCACCATATATAAAGTCTCGTAATGGATTTCATCGATGTAATACCGGGATGACCTGTATGTAATATCTGTAAAACTCGTTTTTGTAGTGAATATGGAATTATTAAGCGACCATTCTAAAATAGGATACCGTCATCATTTTCTATTTCATCTATTCTTGTTCTAAAAGCTTGTAATTCTGGTGCTTGATTTTGTATATTTGTACCATTTAATAATATTTTTATCTTAAAATTGGATCTTTAGCAGTTTCATCTCTAAGTTCTTTTCTTGATAGAGTTAATGTGTCATAAGTAAGATTTCATATATATTTCACTGTTTTATTTCCCTTGTTATTTTATTATCATTTTTCTCTATTGGGTTTTGTGATAAAGCATCTGCAATTATATTACTTGCGCCATTCTTATACATTTTTGATTTTCTTCCAATTGTAGTTTTACTATTCGACATTTTTTATTAATCCTAATTTATTATCAAACACCGTAGCAAATTCTTTATATAGTTTGTCAATATTTACGTTACCATTATCACTATATTTATATCTATTGTTGATCATATTAATTTTTACATTTTTTGGTAACGATAAGTCAAATTCGACAATCCATGGAAATCCAAATAGAGCTGCATCATTTGTTTGTGTGACTAATAATGGAAGCCATTTTATGTTATTATTTAATTATACTTTTACATCAGCTTCACCCATAATTTTTATTCTATTATTTCCATATGTAGTTGGTGCTTTAGCTCTTTTAAGTTTTGGCCTTCCGATTTTATTCCATATTATTTCATTAATAATGGTTACTGCCGAGCCAGTATCATATTCCATTTTAATTTTTTGGTTGTTTATTAATACTTCAATTGTTGGATGTTGCCCATATTTGTATATTTTTCTTATTGAGACATCCGAATCGTCTTCTTTATTATTGTAATTTGTTCCGTAAATCTTTTCTTTAGCTTTACAACATACGGCGAAGTGGTTTGGTTTCCTACATTTGCTGCATAATTTTCCGTAGGCGGGACAATTTCTAATAGCATGAAACCGATTACAGAAATAGCATGGTTTTCTCCAATTACTATTATTATTTGTATGGTAGTTGTTATACCCGGGCACTAGTTCTCTTTTTACATATGCTTTATTATCCTTTTGATAGTGCCGTTTATCATTATTATTATACTGCCGATTATTTTTATCATGTATATTTATCCGATTATTATTATCATGTTTATTCGGCTCTTTGATTTTATATACCATTTTAGCAGTATTATATATTTCTAAGTCGGCACGTTACATCGCTAAAGCCAATTCTACCCTTTATTTAAGCTTAACGGTTGGTCTTCGTCTTTAGTATCTGGATATCTTAATCGTAGTTCTTTATCCAGTTGTGACATCTTTAGTCCGGCGATTAATTGATCTCGAATTCTCAGTTCTACCTTCAAATTCGCATCTTCGGGCTAGCTCCTTTATATTTTTTAAATAGCTCATTACGGATTCAGTAGCCCCGCGACTTAATCTAATGAAATCAATTCTTGTTGCCAAAATAGTTCTTTCATCTATATAGTTGTTTTGCTATTTTATATATGTCAATCCATCCTACCTCCTCTATATTCATAGGATAGAGTAATTTTTTGATATCAGTTATAATGTTTATTCCTCCATAAGCTATAAATAATTTTTTTAAAGTGGCGTCAGTTTGAGGAATATTTTTCACATTTAGTATATATTTGATATAGTCAACGTAGTCCTCGATAGAACAATCTTCCTTAAGTCCTGGAGAATAATTTTATTTATAATTTCTAAATATATATAATTTTTTTTTTATAAACAGAAAATTTTTTTTATAATTCTATATATTATTAAACTTGACCGAAGACCGAAAACCACGCGACTTAGATTTTTTTTTATTTCGTCGCCATTTTTTATAGTCAAAACAATATATTCTTTATTATAAAATTGTTTCCTATATATAGTCTTTTATAATTATGTCATTTAACTACTACTAATATTACATTGACCTCCATAGAAATATATAATTCAAATAGCGTAACCTTTTGAAATATATATAAACATTCAAATATAACAACGGTCAGAGGTATCGACTTCTAAATATAAACTTCCCAACAAGGAGTTGAAAAAAAAGGCGAGGATTTTTTGTTTCAAAAAAAAACAATAATAAACGGAGTGAAGCTAAATTCAGTGAAGTGGGCACGACAATCGTGCTGTGACTTTATTAAGCACTTTTGTAGGTGCACATCCTCTAATAGATTGTGAAAGATATGATAGGGAAAAAAAGGATAAAATCATGATAAAATGTCCAAATATTGTTAAAATTTATAATAAATCAATGGGAGGTGTAGATGTCATGGATTCTTTACTTTCCTTATATAGAATTCATACGAAATCAAGAAAACGGTACCATATAATTTTATTTCATATATTTGACATGTTACTTATAAATTCATGGTTGCTATATAAACGTGATTGTAATTGTATATCAATAGCACGCAAGGATCTTGCTAATATGGCAAATACACTTCAAACAATATACCAAAACGAAAATCAGTTCAAACTAGTTATCGGGAAAAATGTAAAAAAGAACCAGCCCAATATTTACCAAATGAAGAGGTTAGGAAAGACCTCACGGCTCATTGGCCCAAATATAATGATAAGAAGGGTAGATGTAAAATGCCAGGATGCTTATTTATTACAAAAGTATCTTGCAAAAAATGCGGTGTATATTTATGTTTTACGCCCACATAATTGTTTTATAGATTTTCATGTAAATTAAAATGTTTAATCATTTAATATTTGTTGTATTTAAATAAAATTATATATATTTATAGTTTAGAGTACAATAAAAATTATTGTGGAAAAAATTGAAATTTGTATCCTTAATTGCATAATGTGTATTTTAATCCACATACCGTTCATCTTCTAAGAAATTTAGAATTTTTTTTAAAAAGTGAGCCATGAGATTATCAATAGTATCGAGAGAAATAAAAATCTAGTTTGCCAAAAAAAAATTATTGCAATAGAGGGTTAAAAGCATATAACAATTGTATTTATTATTTTTTTAAATAAATAAAATCCATGACGCAAACAGGATTATGCTATTTACTTTGGGAATCATATGGCTCATGTTCTCTACAGCGATCATTGGAATGGTTCCAGAATCTGAGTAAATTTTTATCATTTATCTTGTTTCTCTTCTTTCTTTCTTTCTTTTTCGATAGAATAGCAAATAATTTATTTAATTTCTTGAGAATTAGATAGGACCAGTTAGGAAAACATTACCTACTCTAAACTGGCTTATCTTAGATTTAAGCCTATTTTTGGTCTAATTTTGAAGCTTAAGCTCTGTTAGCAATCTTGGTTCTGACCTCTCTACCCCCCCCCCCTCCCAACATATGGCATCAAGGGTTGTATATTTCTTTTTTAATAAAATTAAAAAAAATAAAATTATAATTTTTGCATCACGTGATCACAAGTTTTAAGATATGGTTATACAAACACGCATCTCTTATGTGCTTCCGTATACTAGCTCGTTCTTTAACAGCTATCGTAATCTTTCACAACAAGTTTCAACATTTACGTATATTATATCGTTTTTAAATTAAAGTGACATAACTTTTGTATAAAAAAATTATTTATCATTTGGTTTTAAGTTTTGGTTTCTTAAGGAAACGAAAAGGAAAAAATAGCTTTAACACCAATTAAATTTTCAGAGGCAAAATACGACGTAAAATCAGTTCAATATTCAAGCTCAACGATATATGTGAATAATTTCCTTTTCTTTTATTACTAAAATATATAATATTTTAAGAGATAATAGGGCAAAACCTGGTGGAATATGCGTCGCTAATCATACATCTCCCATTGACGTTGTCATGCTGTCGTGTGACAATTGTTATGCCTTGATAGGTTTCATAAATATTTTAATTAAACCCTTTTGCATCTTATCATTATACTTAATATGTTTTTCTATGGTTGATTCCTTTTGGATTCATAATTTAAAAACGATATTTACCACATCGTATTTTATCTAATAACTTAATTTGCTCAACTACATCATAAATATTATGAAATTCTTTTTTTTCGTTTTGTTTCTTTATTTATAAATATAATTAATACTGAATTTTTAAAAATTTTTACACACCAATAATCCTTTTATTTCTCACTATCATATATATTAAAATCAAAAGTACTATATTATTTTCAAGTTCCTATATTTTTATAAGATAAATAATCTTAAATGCTATATGTCATCATTGGGCAAATTTCATATTTATTTTCATAGCTTTATAATACATTTTTATTAGTGGTTTTGGGATAGTTCAAAGGTAAGAATGGGTTTGAATTGGGGGGGGGGATTATAGTATAAAAGTATCTTCCTCGCCATTTATTTCATTTAATTATTTATAATAAATAATATTATTTTAAGTATATTGGAGATCTTTTGAAGTTGAGGATAAAAAAAAGAGTATATTTCTAATTAAAGATTTAACTAAAATAGTTTGGCGCCATATAGATATCGAGAAATTTGATATAGACTATAAGGGATAGTGTTAACCGTAATATGATAATACCCCATTACTACACTGTTTGGAAATTTTTTGACAGCAATATCACTTAAAATTTTGAAAAAGAATTGGAGGAAAAACTCTCTCAATACTCTTTAAAGGAGGATGCGAAATGAAACAATATATCAAATTAAAGTTCTTTGAATGGGGGAATTAAAATATTTGACTCCGAATGTCATATATAGATGTAAAAACATTTACTTTTCTAAGTTCGACTCATTTTTCACTGGGCGGTTTCCATAGCTTCTTACCTGCTTCATTTCCTGTCATGTTGAACCATTTGGCGATAATATTTTTGGGAACATACGTAGATAAATCCAGGAGATGGAAATTGATTCATGTTTTAGCTTCCATTCGATATCATTTCTAGATGGCTCTACGAGCACGACTATGTCTTATTAATCGATTATTTACATACCCTCATTGTAGTTCTTTACAATTGCTTTATTCCAATGTTCATGAATGATTTATTAACCACTAGCTTACCATTTGTTGGCTAAATGTAGAGAATATAGTAACACATCGGTTATCTAGCCATTAATATATAGTTATTTATAGTACTTTTATAATCAAAACTCCCTCCCTTTCTTTTGAGCCATATTCATTTTTAGATTGCATCTAAATAAACGATATTGAATCTTATTGCTGCGGTCAAAGGGCACCTCCTTTTTTAAAATGGGTATCATTTAATTGCACAGTTGAATAATTGAAATTCAAGTTATGAATAATTAGCACTCGTAATAATTGATTTCAAAATCAATTTGTTTGATTTAACCCTGTATTGCATACTGTGTATCTCAAGCCACATACCACAAATTATATAATAAATATTTTATAAATAAATTTTAAATCAATTGCATGGTGTGTATTTGAAGCCATATTCTATATCTTCGATTGGAATTTTAATTTGGGCCACGTGATCTATTATTTATTTTTAATTTCGCATTTTATTAAACCCTATTTTTAAAAATGGCTATTTTTTTATAAAATTTTTCTTCTCAATTTTCTACACATCGTAAAAGGATAAATAATATATTTGACAAATTTCAAAACATTAAAATTAGATAAATAAAAGGTAAAAATTAATGTTTATGAAATTATTTTATATATATTTATTATTTTTGATAATTATATTTTGTAATAATCATACGTTGCTTTAAAGACACATTATGCAAATAAGGTATTTTATTTGAGTTTTATATTTTTAGAATTATGAATTGTGGTACCATACCTAATGATAGTGAAGATTCAAATTTAAGTGAATCGTCTGATGAGGAGTTTCTGTCAACCCAAAATAATGATTTAGGTATATTTAAAATGTATGCTCTTATATAATCTATAAATATCTAGATTTCAATGAGAGTGATGAATCGGAAGAGGATGAAAATATAAATAATGAAAAAGGAATCGTGAGAAAAATGATTTGGAAAAATTGCTTAACTAATTTACCATTAGTTATTCCAAAGTGGAAAGGAGAAAACCCAACGGTTGATAAAGTAAAAAAACCAATGGATTATTATAATACATATCTCAATGATTTATTACCTCTAATTGTTTACGAATCAAATTTATATGCAATTCAATGTAATTCCAACAAGCCTTTGAATTTATCGATAGATGAATTAGAAAAATTTATAGGAATTATTTTTTACATGTCAATTATTAAACTTCCCAGAGCACGTCTCTACTGGGCCACCAATACAAGACAGGCCAAGGTGGCTGATGTCATGACCCTAAATCGCTGGGAACAAATCAAATCATTCATTCATATAAATGATAATGACAAATTTATTCCACTTGGAAGTGAGGGCCATGACCCACTTCATAAAATTAGACCCTTGATAACTATAACCAATAATATACTAAAATCTTTATCGATAGGGGAAAATATTTGCGTAGATGAGCAAATAATTCCATACAAAGGGATGAGCAGATTAAAGCAATATAACCCCCAAAAGCCCAAAAAATGGGGCTATAAAGTCTTTCTACTATGCGGAGATGATGGCCTCCATAATTTTGAAGTATACTCTGGGAAAATACTACCAGCGGAAGGATTGCCTGATGTTGGAGCAAGTGGCAATGCTGTGCTACGTTTAATTTCTTATATACCACAGCAAATTAATTATAAATTATTTTTTGATAACTGGTTTTGTTCACCAAATTTGCAAGTCGTACTCGCTCAAAGAGGGATATTTTGCGCGGCCACGGTCAGAGGTAATCGACTACCAAATATCAACTTCCCAACAGATAAGGAGTTGAAAAAAAAAGGACGAGGATTTTTTGTTTCAAAAAAAACAATAATAAACGGGGTTGAATTAAATTCAGTGAAGTGGCACGACAATCGTGCTGTGACCTTATTGAGCACTTTTGTAGGTGCACATCCTCTTATCGATTGCGAAAGATATGATAGAAAAAAAAAGGATAAAATAATGATAAAATGTCCAAACATTGTTAAAGTTTATAATAAATCAATGGGAGGTGTAGATCTTATGGATTCTTTACTTTCATTATATAGAATTCATACCAAATCAAGAAAATGGTACCATCGAATTTTATTTCATGTATTCGACATGTTACTTATAAATTCTTGGTTGCTATACAAACGGGATTATAATAGTATATCAATAGCAGGCAAGGATCGATTAAGTTTGTACAATTTCAAAATTTCGGTGGCGGAAGTCCTTTGCAAATATGGCAAATGCACTTCAAACAATATTCCAAAACGAAAATCAGTTCAAACTGGTTATCGGGAAAAATGTAAAAAAGGACCAGCTCAATATTTACCACTTCAAGAGGTTAGGAAAGACCTCACGGCTCATTGGCCAAAATATAATGATAAGAAGGGTAGATGTAAAATGCCAGGATGCTTATTTATAACAAAAGTATCTTGCAAAAAATGTGGTGTATATTTATGTTTTACGCCCACAAATAATTGTTTTATAGATTTTCATGAAAATTAAAATGTTTAAACCTTTAATATTTGTTATATTTAAATAAAATTTTATATATTTATAGTTTAAAGTACAATAAAAATTATTGTGGAAATAATTGAAATTTGTATCCTTAATTGCATAATGTGTATTTAAATCCACATACCGTTCATCTTCTAAGAAATTTAGAATTTTTTTTAAAAAAGTGAGCCATGAGATTATCAATAGTATCTAGAGAAATAAAAAATCTAGTTTGCCAAAAAAAAATTATTCTAACATAGTACATGCAATACAGGGTTAATTCATGTTTTTACAGTTTCAAATGAAATGATTGAAAAACTGAAATCAATTATAACAATGTGAAACCAATTATTTAAAACTGAATTTCTGCTTAATTTACTGTTAAACGATACCTATATTAAAATATAAAAAAATGAAAGATTGTCAATATATGATCCATAAAAATCTATTATAAAAAATAATAAATCTTACGTTTGATTAATTTATTAGGAAATAATAAATATAAAGTGATTTTTGTAATTAAGATAAAAAATATAATGTGATGATAGAAATATGTAAAATGTTAAAATTGCCACGAATATAAATAAATCTACTGTGCAAACTTCATTTTAAAACTGCAAATATAATTAAAACCCCGAAAATAATGATTAAATTGAGCATTTATTTAAAAAAACTAGTGCTGTAAACATTACTACAAAAAGAAACGCGTTACCGTTACTCGTTACATCTGAAAAATGGAACGCGTTACTCGTTACCATTTTACAAAAGGAACGCACGTTACCGACTTTTCAAAAAAGTAACGGGCTACTCGTTACTTAAAAAAATTAAATGTTATATATAATGCAAAAATAAATTAATTTTTTTCCGAATATATAATAAAATAAAACTATACAAAAAGAACATTTAAGATCAGATCTTTTAATAAAAAATTTTCATATATAATTATAATATGAATAAAATTATACAAAAATAATATATCTTTATGTAACAATTTTTTATTTATTTTTAAAACAATTGATTTTCAAAATTTTGATCAGATAAACATGAGCGCTTAGTACTCAACACAACTTTCGCCGTGTTAAACACGTTCAATTGGCGCAGAGGATGGGAGAGTGGTGTTATATTTAGTAAACAAAAATTTTAATTCGGGGAATTTATTAAAAATATTTAAGGAAATATTTTTATTTTGAAAAAAGCTTGAAAGATCATCTTCAAAGAGATCTTCATTCATTTCCTCATCAAAAAATTTTTATCATTATCTGAAAATATTCAGTGTGTGTGTTGGATAAAGGAATCAAGCCTGTTCTTTCTTTATCAATATCTTTTCTCAAACTGGAAATAAGTTCCAGCATTCTTCCTTTATTGACCTCTAATTTTATCCAGGGCCAATCCAATTTAAATAATGGGTGAATTATTGCCGATAGTATATATTCATCATCATAGATGTGTTTGAATCTATTGAAAATATGATAGTCAACATATAAATTATAAGCAATATTTGAACTGTATACCTTTTATCTATGGCTTCCAGGATTAAATCAATAAGCGGCTTACAAAACTTAAAATTATTTAAAGACAATTCTTTAAGTTTTGATATTATAATGGTTATCGTGGGAGTGAGATATCCCAAATGCATATTTTCTTCGCTCTCTAAAATTGAAAGAGCCGTAGCTATCGAATACATGGTTAAATAATAAGATGCTAAATATATAGTATTTTAATTATGAAAATTAAATAACTTTTTTTAAAATCATTTCTTCATGATTAAGTTTTTATATGTTTAAAATAATTATATATTAATTCATTCTTTACCTTCTGTTTTTTTAAGTTTGAGTAAATTGATATTGACGTTGAGATATTTGCGTTGGGACATAATTTACATTTACAAAGTGTAGCTTGGTACCATTAATTTTCTTAATTGGTTTAAAATATAATTCAAAATAGGGCCAGGGAAGGGTTAAATCTTTTCCATCTGAAGAAGTAAGTACTAAACATAATATTCTTTTAAAATAAATTATAAATTAATTAATAATATCATTATATTTACTTTGAATTTTGATTGAATATTAATTTCGACTGATAATTTAACAACGAAATTTTAAAAAAAATGTTGGAAGTAGTTGATATGAATTAAAACTCGGTTTAAATTATTAATATTAAGAATTAAAAAATAAATAAAAGTAATTTTATAATACAATAAAATATGTTTTTCTTTTTATTGATATTTTTTAAGAAAAAATATAAAGTAACGTTTTGCGTTAGCGTTACTCAAAAAAATAAACGCGTTACCGTTACTCGTTACCTTTAGATGAAGGTAACGAATGGCGTTCCTTTTTTTCAAACTTTTTGACATTACTTCACAGCACTAAAAAAACTGAATATAATTAAATTAAATATAATTTTAAAAACTATGCACATAATTTCTTCTTTTTGGAATATGTGTTTGAGCAAATTATTACAGAAAATATTAAAGCCATTTATATTTATCAAATCTTCAGATATCTGAAAAGAGTAATTATCAGTTTTATCAGCAATTGTTGATATTGTTATTTACATATTTTCCTAAATTCCGTTAAATTAAAGTTTCTATAGACTCATCTCCCTTATATTCACTATCAAAATTGTTGATATCTATTGCGCTAACAATTTTGGTCGAATCTATATTTGGAAATATATTTTTATCCTCAATTACGATAAAAGGTTGTAAGGACATATATGAGGATGCAATTCTTCGGCATCTTCATTTTCATTACATTACCTGATTCGTCTCCTCAGATTACAATAAACATGGACATAGCTAAAAACAATACTATTATGCATAATGGGAATAAATTACTCGAAATTTTTTTTATCCTTTAACAACCCCTCCTTTCTTCCTCTTTTCGAACCCCCCCCCCATACCTTCCAAAATAATGTACATGATAACTAGTATTCTAAAACCATTATTAAAAATGATGACCTTTTGAAATTTGAATTTTAATTGGATCTAAGATCATGTTCCTTAAAAAAACTAAAAGTTCTAATACATTTATTAAGTCATAAACTTACGATTTATTTATTTTTTTATAAAAAAGTGGCAGGTTAATTTTGATAAATTCTAATCCGGAACCCTCGTGATAATCTTAAATCTCTTAATTTTTAACCATCAACTGAAGGCGATTTTTTAAATAAGAAAAATTATATTTCACCGAAATATATATTCTTTTTTAAATTTTAGTATTAAATTTATAATACAAAGATAGATTAATCTAAAAGTTCATAACAAAATTTAGAGAATATGTACCAGGCGCGTAACCATGTGGGAGATTCTCCCTCCCCCCCTCCATCACCATCGCAAATTTGCCTGTTCTCGTAAATATCATTTGAGCTAATAAAAATCCCCTCCCACCCCCACACTCCCTTCTCCCCAAAAAAATGTTTATAATATATCACTAAGGAAGAATTTGAAAGAAAAATTAGTAAAATTAATAACTTTTAATATAACGACTATCATTCAAATTTTTAGAAGAAAGCAATTTTGTAAAAGGCGAATACCCAAATTTTTTTTTTATTATCAAAATCGAATATAGCCAAAGGCCTACAATAAGTGGACCTAAGTATCTCCAATAAAGTTTATGAGGAAAACTCGACCTAATAGTGCTTCCCACCTCCCTTACCAAAATTCTGGATAAGTCTATAATATGTACTCTATACTTGTTATAGTTTATTTCAGGTAAACTCACACTTTTCAACTTAAATTCCCAGCAGTAAATAATTTGAGAGATTTTAAATCGCCTCGGGAGTTCACAAATTGGTTCTTATCCATAAAAACGTATCACGTATAATAACCTTTGAAATTCATCTTAACGCATTGAGATTTTAACCTAAGGGTAAATTAATGAATCAGCTTATATATAAAATTGTAATTGTGGCTTACAAAAGATATACTACCTATGTAGATTGTTTATGAACTTGATCCTAAAAATTTAAAGGGCAAAGACATGGCGGTTTTTTCGGATTTCTCCAAAAGCTTCTCACCAGGTCCACTCATCACGTTTGGTTCGAACGATCCGAAACGCAAGACCGACGTGCTGTGTTCGATACCATGAAAAGCCACGTCAGCGATCCGAAAAAATTACCCATACTCATTTTTCCCGAAGGTACTATTTATGTCATGAAGCAGTAGGTGATAGGGTTTAAACAGCATTAAAGGTATGCTAGAAGGTGAATTATATAAGCATGTCGTATGCTCAGGTTTTCTCAATCTGATGCATCTTTTGCCTCATCAGCCTTAAGACAAAAAAAAAAGCACTCACTTTTGTTATATTTATCTAAGATATTTCAAGCACCATATCTTCCATAATAGATATTACTTCCTTTTGAATCTGGGATGATGTATATTGGGCTTTTTGGGTGCATTCACAGTATACAATACCTTGCAAAATCTATTAGTTTAGATTAATATTTATAAATTAATAATTAAATTGGATTAAATATTAATAAAGAAAGATTTATCTTATTCAAATTTTTATAAACCTGGTCAGCTGCTAAATAATGTTGCATTGCGTCCACTATGAATTCAACTTCATTCCTATATTTTGCATCAGTCTCAATTTATAAAATGGATCTTATTATGTTTTCCAGTTTCTAAGTGTTTTTTTTTTACCCCAGAAATCTTACAAAGTTTTAAGGAAACACTTAAATTATATTAATATCAAAATTATATATTTATTTTGAAATCCAATCCAGGCACGTGTATTAACAACACATCCGTCATGATGTTTAAGAAAGGCAGTTTTGAAGTTGGAGGAATAATTTATCCGGCAGCTATCAAAGTAAGCCTCAATGGTTATTTGTTTTTATATTTAACATGAAAAATTTAATTTTAAACATTAATAAAATATTCAATGAGTCTAAATTTATAGGATAAATAAATCTATTCGAAAGTCAGAAATGTATAATAGTTATTTTCTTATATGAGCCTTACACCTACAAGCTCTAAATCCGACCTATGTCTTGAAATAAGATAGGGGCATAAAAATAAATAGAAATACAAACCCGGAATATAATCCTTAACCCGGCTAAGATAAATATAATGTACATTAATTCGCTGAAAAATAGTGCCAAAATTATTTTATTATTCCAGGTTAGACCAAGTCGTAAAATGTCGAAGTTTATTTTAAAAATATAAAAAAACAGGCTGGCAAAAATATTTTTTTTATAAAAAAATCAGCAGACTTCTTAAATGTACATATTTTATTATTCCAATACAGCGTCATGGATTTTCCTTCCGTTTTCCAAAAACATAACCTATTTTTTAAAAAGATTTCCTAATTTCAACCATCTCCCATTTGACACAAGATTTTTTTAATGAGGTTTTTAATTAATATGGCACTTTATCATAATAGGTGAAAAATTTTGGAAAGTTGAACTAGATACTATTTTTGAGTTCAAATTACTATATATTTATTGTTCCTTTATCGTCTTTTAAATTAAATAATTCTCTTCACGATTAATGAAAAAGTACGATGCTAGGTTCGGGGATCCATTTTGGAACAGTAGCCGGCAAACATTTCTCCAATATTTGTTGATGATGATGACTAGTTGGGCTCTAGTGTGCGATGTTTGGTATTTACCTCCCATGATTATACAGGTTTAATATGTTAATTTTTTTTCGTTGTTAAATAATTTATTTTCTAATGTATCTTATTTATAGAAAAAAAAGGTAGGCCGTCTCAAAACCCATTTTCAACAAGAAATTTTTTTCCAGAGTTGGAACTTGGACTAAAAAGAATTATTGTTTCGGTTTCTAAATATTTTTTAAAAATATGTTTCCGGTTTCTAAAATTTGAAAAGTTGGTTCCGTTCTTAAATTGGGCACGGTTATAGCTTCCAGTTCCAACTCTGTTTTTCGCTTTTTTAAAATTTTTATTTAAAATACTTTATACATAAACATGTTTTAAAATCAATTAAAAAAATATGTATTTAAAAAAAAATAGTAACCATATTATATTTATTATAAATAATGTAGGAGAATGAAGATTCATATCATTTTGCAGATCGGGTCAAAGCTGCTATAGCCCAACAAGGGGGATTAGTCGATTTAGACTGGTAATTTTAATCGGGTTTAACATTGCTCAAAATTTATGAATCTTCAAAGATCTTTGCTCTTTTGAAGATCAAAAATGTGAAGGTTTTTATATAAAGAAAAATTTTGAGTTCAAAAGAAGATTTTTGAACAAAAAAAATGTTTTTTATCAAAAAATCTTCTTTGATTTTCTCTTTGATGTTTTTTTAAAAAAAGAATAAAAAAAAATTTCTTGTTTTTTTAAAGATTTTTTTTACGAAAAGATTTTTTGCTCAAAATTTTGGGCAAAAAAAAATCTTCAAATGCGTGTTAAACACTGATTTTAATTTGATATACATTTAAATCGTTGGAATTTATCACCTAAAATGGAAAAAATCAATACGAAAATATTTTTTATATTTTGCAGGGATGGAGAATTAAAACGTGCAAAGGTCAAAAAATCTTGGATAGACAATCAAAGATTTATATATAGTCAAAGAATTAAAACTGAATAATTTTTTTTTCGAATAGATATTATATATATAACTAAACGAATATTATTTGAAAACTTGGAGATAAATTTGATTTCTCTTGAATTATGATTTTAATTTATTTATATAATATATAATCAAATTTTAGTTTTTAAATTTGACATAAGCAAGAAACTCGAATCTTAAAAAATTACTATGACGGCTCAATTGAGATGAGGTTTAGTTAATTTAGTATAATAATTAGTGACCAAATTTTATTTTGTCTTTTCATGATCTTTATTTTATTAGCTTATTCAAATTATTTAAATATTGTATTATTTGTATAGTTGAATTATTATTTTATAATATATCCATGGCAATGTTTGAAATTGTAATATTCTGAATATTTCTTTATTATATCAATACAATCAAATAAGTTGCATAGTAAATTTATCACAAATAACATACGAAGATCTTTTTACAATTATTATTGCTTTATTTTTATTATTATAGTACTATTATATGGAAATCATGTTATATTAGATTGATTTTTAATTTAATTTCCTAATATAGGCTTTTTATTTTCAATAAAATTGATAGGATTTCTATTTTGTAGATTATTTATATGATAAAAAGAATTAAAAAATTAAATCAGCATCAAAAATTTAATATAATGGACGGAGTAATAGATTGCAAATAATGTTTTTCTAAAACAATAGTAGGAGTATGAATTATCATTTATAAAGCTTTTTTAAAAAATAGTTGACATGTTTTTTATATTTTAATTATATGCTATTTTTTAAAATAGTTTATTTTTAATATATTTTTTAAAATAAATAAAATGATTTTTTAAAAAAAATTTATATTTAAATCATAATTATATAACTTAATTTTTTTAAATATTAAAAAAGTAATGTAACGTTAACAAGTACTAGCTAGTAATAAATAAGTAAATGAGAAAGGTTTAAAAACTTTTTTAAAAACTATACAAGAAAAACTTAACAAACGGAAAATATATAAATAATATATTTAAGTAATAATAAAAGGGTTTTAATTATATCAGTGACCTTTAGAGGTACCATTTGTACGACCCAGCCCGGATTTTTTTTTAAAAAATTTTCAGCCCGGCCCGGATTTTTTAAAATATATTTTTGATTTTTACAGCTAATAATGGCGATTTCAAATATTTGATTTTAAAATATACGGCCCAGCTCTGCCCGGATATTTTTTTAAAAAAAATTTTCAGGCACTGCCCGGGTAAATTTAAAAAAATTAAAATATTGCCCGGCCTGGGTACCATGGCCGGGCATGCAGGTCTCGGAATTGTATTAATACAGAAGAATATAACTGATCATATAAATACATCATTGGTTAGTATCGTATCAGGTCAATTCGGCGTAACTTTTATCGCGAAACACTTTTTCGCGAAACTTTTATCGCGAAGGAATTTTATAGCGAAGGTAATATAGCGAAACCAATTCCGCGAAACATTTATAGCGAAGACAATATCGCGAATTTATTTCCGCGAATACTTTATAGCGAATACATTCTAGCGAAACTTTGATCGCTAACTCGTTATAGCGAATTTATTTCCGCAAAACCTTAACCGCGAATACTTTATAGCGAATACATTTTAGCAAAACTTTTATCGCAAACTCTTTATAGGGAATTTATTTTCGCGAAACTTTAACCGCGAATACTTTATAGCGAATACTATTTGGCGAAACTTTGATCGCGAATTTATTTCCGCGAAACCTAAACTGCGAATACATTTTAGGGAAACTTTGATCGCGAACTCGTTATAGCGAAACTTTAATCGCGAATTTTCTACCGCGAATGTATTTGCGCGAAATTATTAAAGCGAGCGCATGACCGCGAAAATTGTGAATTCATTTTAAGTGAAATTGATATATTCAATATCAATTTACCAACCGAAGTTTCTTAAATCATAAACGCGAATGTTTTAAGAATATTTTATTACGTAATGTTTATTTAATAAGAATGTAACCTCTGATGTGATAGAAAATATATTAGTCTTCCTGGTCTCACTAACAGATGAACCTCGTGAAGGCTTCTTCTTAAGACAAAGACTCGCCATAGCAATTCACAGGGCCAATTACATCAGCTTCATTGGCAGCCTCATCTCACATGATGATTAGAATATATTTTATATAATTTTAATCGCGTAATGAATAATTTATTATAATGTATTATCATATTTTTTTTCTAAATTTATAGAATTTTTTTACATATATTTAAATATTATATTATAATGTGCAATTAATAAAAATTTGAATTTGAATATAGAGTCAAAATATATAAAAATTAGATCCAAATCTACATATTTATCAGAAGGAATTTATTTTATTTAAAAGTTTATTATATATGAAATAAATTTTAACTCTTCGCAATTCATGTCAAAATTCTGCTTTACCATTAATTCGGCCTCTAATAAATCAAATGAGACCGAAGAAAAATTTTTTTGCCTAATCATATTCATTAAACTCATTTCTGAGCCAGCATTTGAATGTAGAATTAAAAATAAATTTTTAGAAATTTTTTAGGCTTATATTTACATTTTTATTTAATTCTTTCTAAATATTCTAACTTGATCGTATCATTCAAAATCAAAGGTTTAAGCTATTTATATCTATAATTACCATAATAGTTTGATAATTCTGAGTAACTTCTTTATATGCTCACAGTGGAATAGACAAGATTTATATATTTTAATATCAGCGCCGTTAAATTTGGTGGCTGAATAGTTCTACGAACTAATTGTAAATTATATCATTATTTCTTGCTTTATTTGTACCAATTGAGTATTTAAACGAGTATAGTAGCTCGTAAAAGGAAAAAACTATTAGTAACAAAATTTTGGCAAATCTATGATTTAAGCGACGGAAATAATTTATTCAGAAAATTTTATCGATGTTCCGTATTAATTATAATTTAATTCGTTTAATAGATAGTATAAAGAAAAAGTTTATTAGCAAAATAAGATAAATTGCCTAATTTGGCATTATTGATAGAATGGAAAATAGCTGGTTTGCGCTAATATTTATTAATTCTTCAGTCATTTTTTTCACATACAAAAAGGTAATCGTACTATAAGAGAAATAAAATCTATATCTCCCATTAAAGCGTAAAACCAACCAAATTTCTGGAAGCATTTAATCTGGAACTTAAATCAATAATTGAAATTTATTACATTGATTCTTCAATTCATTTGGTAGATAGTTTTTCGACAAAATAAGATAAAATTGCCACGATTAGCAACATGCGAAAAAAACAAATATTTTTGGGTGAGCTCATACCATAGAAATGCCAGATTAGTACTTACTATTCCATCAATCAGTTTTTCTAGTCAATAAACAAAAACTAGTTTTAATAAGAGAAATAGACAATAGCAACCTTTAAGTATGAACAGGGTTGCCATGTCTCTCCCCATCAGAGGGACTCCAGCAATTTTTTAGTTTACGCAGATATCTCTCTCCCGCAATTGGAAATCTCCCGCAAAAATCTACCTCAATTTAATTTCTCCCGCAATTTTTAAAAAAAAGTATTTTAAACGTTTTTAATATGTAAATAATAATTTTGAGACATTAATTGATTATTTATATATTTTTAAATTAAATTTTAAATATTTATTCGAAAAACATGTCTAGTTTGTAAATTTCTTTCTATCCTGTTTTATTTTTATCCAATAATAAATCAACATTATTTCATTAATATTAGTCAGTACAGGGGAGTATATCAACATCGATTGCAATACAAAAATATTCTCAAAATGAAACTATATTTGCGGAAATCGTATACATCTATTATGTAGTTCAACATTCACAGAGCTCTATATATCATTACAATGTGGGTAGAATCTTTTTCTCATGATATTTAACGACTCCAATATAAGTGCAAACCTTACTTGTGGCAATAAAAATGAGCAAGGCTATCACAATGTTTTGGTACCTGAATTCTAGAGGTCAATTCTAGACGATTTGAAAGATGGGCATCCATATGCAATTCTAACAAATGTATCTAATAAGGGAAATATTAAAACATTTCCCTCGATCCTTTGCAATTTCAACAAGAATAAGAACATTTCAATAAAACTGTTAAAAAAAATTCCTCAAATAGTGAAAAATCCAACAATGTAGCTAGCATAAGGGTAAATATAGCTGATTCAAGGTTATCAATGATTTGCATGCCAGCTTTCTGCCCTGATAATGCCTCTGTAAATTTTGGCAAAAACTAAAGTTACCGAATTGAGGCAGCACAAATGAATTATTACCAATTGGCTGTATATGCCATATATACTACATAGTTCTTGCAAGAAGGCAATGAATGTACTGTCTGTGGATGTCGAAATAATTGTTATGAAATATTTTAACGAATTTAGTTCAACTAAGAGTTAACGAATAAAAGAGTTGGTGAAGTGGTCTGACTTGGAATGGTGTGAGTTGTTACGATATATACTAATCAGGTGGTTGTCATTAATACCTGCCATCGATAGAATTTTAAAATTTTACAAACCCTTAAAAAAATACTACTTAAATAAAGATTTTAAAGGCTGTCCTAAAATTTGTATGAAATGGCAGAAGTATATTTGGGATTCTTTTCACATGTAGGAAATCTACTGCATGCAGTTAATAATCAGTTGCAATTAGAATATTCTTTATTAAAAATGATTCACAAAATCATGCTACAGCTCTGTTCATCTCTATAGTTAAAAATTGATAATAAATTTTATGGCGCTATTGCTAAGAATATTATATTAAAATTTTCAAATAATACTCTAATTAATACATATTTAAATGAAGCAGATATTTTTATTAAGACAATTTTAGAATATTTACGATCAAAATTTGATTTTAATAACTCTATTTACAATTGTATAAATATTATGACCTTGGAACAGAAACCATCAATTAAGGTTTTTGTAATTTAATAAATATATTAAAAATACAGAAATACATTGATGTCTTGTTTGAATAGATTTTAATTATCTCTATTTTTTTAGATTTGCCAAAACTTCTCCTTACCTCATTCTAATGCCTCATCCGAGCGCATTTTTAGCCTGAAGAGGACTGCCTGGAAAAAAGGAGAGAAATCGGATTTAACAACATTAGAGAACGAGCTAATGGTTAAATAATAATGTATAATATGTCATGCCAGGAATTTTATAATCTCAATAACGACGGTAAACATTTATTCTATTATTTAAATCTCAAATAAAATATAATTATGTTTTAGCAAGGGCGCCATAAAATTTATTGTCAATTTTTAACTGTAAAGATGGACACATCTGCAGCATAATTTTGTGAATCTTTGTTAAGATTCTTCTGATTGCAACTGCACATTCTACATGTGAAATCATTCCTAAATATACCTCTGCCATTCATTATAAGAAATATTTTTTAAAGGTTTATAAAATTTTAAAATTCTATCGATGGCCGGTATTAGGAACATATCGCAACCAACATTGTGCTAACTCATTTCTGTAAATACACTCTGTTTTTTCCAAATTCACTGAGGCATTATCAGATCAGAAAGCTGACATGCAATTTATTGATCATCTCGAATCTGATATTATATGGTTAGCTATGTCTTTGGATTTTTTACTGTTAGAGGGGAAAAAATTTAATAGTTTTATTGAAATGACCTTAATTTTGTTGAAATAGCGGAAGAACAAGGGAAATCCCTTATTAGATGCATCTGTTAGAATTGCATATATATGCCCATCTTTCAAATCGTCAAAAATTGACCTCCTGGATTTAGGTCTTAAAACATTAATGATAGCCTTGCTCATTTGTTCTACAAGTATAATTTTCATTTATATTAGAGTCGTTAAATATTATGAAAAAAAGATTCTACCAACATTGTGATGATAAGTATCTCTGTGAATTTTGTACTACAAGATAAGTACAATTGCCGCAACTGTAGTTGCAGTATTATATCTTATTTTGGAGTACCTTATTATGTATTTAAACGTGATACTTGATAATTAAGCGCCTATCCCTATAATGTTATACACACACACGGTAGATTTCCAATTGGGGTCGTTTTGAGGGGCATTCGCTTAAAATATATTTTTAATTGTAAAATTAAAATCGTTTTTTATATTTAAAAAAGATCGTTGGTTTTTTTTATAAATTAATATAATTTAATAAATCCAGATTTTATTGTATTTTGAAAAATAGTTACCGACTTTGTATTTATATAACTAATTATAAAAAATAATAGGCGGATAATTATCAATTCAAAATCCCGGCCGAACGCCGCCCGCAAAAATTTTTTTTTAACAATTTTTATATTTCTACCGCAATTTTCATGTTTCTCCCACATCTCCCTCAATTTGAAAATTTTGACCTGGCAACCCTGAGTATGAACCAAAAGTTATTAGAATTTCAAAAATTAAATAAAATTATCATTATTTATAAAATCATGTTTTTTCCTTATTTCAAAATATGAGGATAAAGATAAAAGGCTAACTCGATATTTTATACAAAAGAAAATTAAGCTTGGAAACTTTTCCGACAGTGCGGCAACTTTGGAAAATGATATCAAAATGAGATGGATTGGTTATGGTAAAATTTAAAACAATTAGGATAGCTAATTATTTTCATCAAGCCGCGAATAGGTTGAGCTATTGTTTAATAAAAAAAAAATTTGGATTATTTTAATGCCGTAAAAAAATTAAAAATAATTTTTAAAAAAATATTACCAAAAAAAATGATGTATTTTAATTTTATTATTCATGGCATGACATGATGCCACCCAAGCTCATTTGCATTGTTAACAAATTAAATGAGAATATAGTATATTAAAAAAAGTTAACCAAATTCCAATATTTAAATAATTAATAACCTTAAGGAATTTTAAAGCTATATAACAAAATTAATACAACCAATTTTTTTCCAAATTTTTATAGCAAGGTCAATATCGTAACTTGAACTGCGAACTCATTAGAGGAGCATCATTGAGATTAGAGGGGGGATAGTTAGTTATGAAATAATTATGATTATTTGAAAAATTGGAAAGGGATGAAAGGTATTTTTTTTTAAAATTATTTATATTTGGCAGGAGGTTAAAAGTTTTGAGAGGGTTGCCCTGATTATATTCTCCGCAGTCCTTTTCTTAAGTTAAAATAGGAAATGGTATAGCAAGTATTATCTTATTTTAATAGATCCCTTTAGGTCATATTTTTTTATATCTAATTTACATATAGAATAAATATCCTTAAAAAATAAATTTCATTATAAAAAGTTTTTTAAAAAATGATTTTTTTTTATTGAATATGTGAAGGAAAAAGTAGAGCATTGCCATAACATATCATCTAAACCAATAGGTTTGTTTGTTAAATATATAACTGAAGTGTAAAATTTTAAAAGAATCACTGATTTGAACAAAGACTGGTTAAAAATAACCATGGGAAAAAAATCTGACAAAAACACCCCGATATATAATTATATGCTTTAATAAATAAAAGGAAAATGTAATCCTCGTTTTAAACTTTGCCCTTTAGTGTAATACTTGAGTATTATTTTATAATAGTACTTTTCTAATAATGTTGCTCATCAAAAATGATCATATTTGTAAGGGGAAACAACTATATGACTCAAGGGCTAGGAATATGAATTTTAAAATAATTTTATAATGCATGGCAAAAGGTAGTTATTTTTGAAATATTAATCGTGGGATTGATGTGGTAGAGAAAGACTGTGTCACATATAAAGGAATTTGTAAATACCCTCATAAAATCTGTATCTTAATGAATGAGTCTTATGTAACCAGCTAAATTTTATACCAAAGTAGACCTTCCTATATTTTTGTCACAAAAAAATAATGAAAATATAAAAATTTTGAGACTATTATATAAAAACAAACAAAATTTTTATTATTGTAGATAAGAATTTAAAAAATTAAACATTCAATGTTATATTAATAGCGATTCCTTTAAGATAATCTAATCTTGATCGATTTTCGAAGTCAGAAACAATTGTTACTATTCTCGCATGTAGATTTCGATATTTTTTTCTCGGGGTAGAGGGTGTTTCACCAGAATTATATTGAGCAATTTTTAACTCTGTCAACCCTTGTTGTTTTTTTAAGCCTAGATAAAATTATATAGTTTATTAGTAAATCTTTATACTTTTTAAATCATTTTAAAATAATAGATATATAGATAACTTGATATAAATTTCCACATGTTTGGATGGTAACTTGTTAGGAGGGAACTGAAGCATATATGCCACCCTTCAACCACGTTGTTGGTTTTCGCTTCCCTGTTCAGTGTTGATTGGTAACAATTCCAGAGTTCAATATTAAACAAAGCAGGTAGTCTGCCTCTTCCAAACGTTTTACCAATATAAGCTTTTTCAAAAGTTTCAATTAGAGGCTAAGTAAAAATTGATTATTAGAATAAAATTCGGAGTTTATTAGTAATTCAAATGTTTCAACTACATTTAAGGGTGGCACAAACGCCAAACAAACCATCATTCTAAGTTGTATATTAAATTCTACATCTGTTTTATATTTATGCGATATTTCTGGATATTTTTGAATGTTTCGCCAAAAGGATTGGCCAAAATGGAAATAACAACATTTGTGTTGCGAATTGGGAAACACTTCATTGAAAACTTTTACACTGGCCATTTCAAAATCCGTCATAATTTTTTTTAGAGTTGATATTAAGTTGTCAGCTATAATAGTAAATATTCTTTTATAAGTTTCATAATCCTTTCTATTGGTCAATATATATATATATGAGAGGTAAAACATTATTATTTCTAATCCCATGAATTGTATAAATTTGCATAAATAAAGGAGGCGACGATTTAAATGTACCATCAGAAAACCAATGTTTGCATGAAGCTAAGAAGTCCAATTTTTTTTCTTGTTCCAAATATAACACGGTCGGGAACCTGACACACATGATAAATAAATAAGCAATTATAATAAAGTGTTTCTTATCGGGCAGCTTATCGCAATAAAAATGAACGATTTAGTTATATTTGTTCAAAAAATTTATAGAAAATCTTACCGGACCATCATCATGAAGTATGAAATTCTCATATTTATCTGTAATTGAATATACATGCGGAATTACCAGCTCAATAAGGCTGCTAGGATTCGGAGGTTCAAAACTGTTTGAACTCCGCGTTCGGTGAATTATACTTCATAAGATTTGGTGATGGTAGTGCCATTGATATGGAATCACTTAATTGAGATACGTGTTTCGCCACAATAAAGTTTGGAGTTTCCATAGTATTATTCAAAGCTTTATTCTTAATTGAATTGATTATTTTCTTGGTTTCCATTTCGATTGGATTTTCTGGATGATTGTGTATTTCTTTATTATCTTTTATCTTACCATTTTTTTTGTAAGTCGTACGGGACATTTAAAAATATCCTGATTGATGCATCTATAATAATTAGTATCTGAGACTACTTTATCCAGGCGGAACAAATAATTTTTAAAGGTTAAGATCTCCTTATTTTTGCTTGATAACATATTTTATAAGACTCCGAAATAAAGAGGAAAGAATGGCGAAAATATTTATAATTTATAACCAAAGGAATGGCACCAGCCAGACGAGAAAATTTTTTTTTTGAATTTCGGCAATACTTTTTTTTAAAAATAGTTATAATTTATCAAATATGTCATTAATTATTTGTTAATTTTGTGTAGCTATTTTTTTTATTATATTTTAAAATTATTTAAGATTCAATAAGAACCCATATCAAAATATTATATTTAAATTAATTGAAATTAATGCCGAGTTATTATACTAAAAATTTTATCACGCCCCCTCCCCCCCCCCCCCTTCAAATAAACAGAAAAGATAAAAAGATATCTATAAAGATCGTAAAATAATAAGATTAATAAATATTTTAAATTGGGGAAATCCCTTATTTCACTTAGATGTAATTTATTTTTGAATTGCCATTCAAAATTGATGTTCTAAACAGTAATGTTGTAGACTTTATTCATCTACACTGTTTAAGAATAGTGACTGCCAAAACCACGGTTGTGCATTTGACCGGTCAAATATAGTTAAAATCAAATAAATATTATTTTATATTGAATATCATCATTTTCTTTAATATTTTTTAATTAATTTTCTTTTTGTCTAAATCTTCAATCGATTTCTGTTTTAGTAAGATTATTGACACAAATCGACCAATTTCTTTCTGAAGAAGATAGATCTAGAAATTGTTAGTAATGTCACTTCTCTTAATGACCATGGTGGTCAAAGCTAATTCCACTGCTTGAGTTTGAAATCTGATTGTTTCTTATGGAAGTTACTGCTATCCCCATGATTTTCTATTAAACAAGTCGCTTTTATTTCTGATATAACTTGTAATATTTTGATCACCACCTTGTATGCCTAATTCTTTTATTATATTACATACTTCATTAAATTCACTATGATTAAAATGCTCTCCTTAATATTAGGAACTCAATAAGCATTGTGATCACATTTCACATGTATTTATATCGTTTTTTCTTTTTCAAACATATTTTTATATTCAGATCTTATAGAATATAGGACCACTTGACCAGGTCAAATATTCTCCCGTTCAATTGACCCGTCAAAATCTAGTCATTTGACTGACTTGCTAACCCTGGCCAAAATTGATTGATAAATTTATAATTATTAAGTCATCAGACAATAAATAGGAATGCTACCCAGATATCAATTTCGCCAGTAAATATCAAGATTTAACTAATAAACTCAATGATTAATATATTGATAAAGCTGAGTTCCTTGTGCGCGATTATTATAAAATAAGAACTTCGAAGGAAAGGATAGGATAGCGAAAAAAGTGTATTTCAATAACAAATTTCATAAACCAGTAAGTTAATTAATCATTGTAAAAATTTTTTAAGGTTAAAAGAAAATTATAAACTATGTGAATTAAAAAAATATTATTCAAATAATATAATTATAAACTATGTGAATTAAAAAAATATTATTCAAATAATATAATTATAAAAAAAATGATTCAAAAAAAATTAGTGATTATTAGCAATTATCGCGATATTAAATTCTCTATAATATCTTCGCGATATATGTTTCGCGAAATAATTGTCGCTACATTGTCTTCGCGATTTGGGTTTCGCGATAATAACTTCGCTATAAAATTTTCGCGATTATTGATTCGCGATTAAAGTTTCGTGGTAATGTATTTAAAGGTTTCGCGATAAAGGTTTTGCTATAAAATTTTCGCGATAAAAGTTTCGCGGTAATATATTCGCTTCAAATGTTTCGCGATAAAGGTTTCGCTATAAAAAATTCGCAATATTTGTTTCGCTATATTGTATTCGCGGTAATGTATTCGCTATAAAGGTTTCGCTGTAAAAAATTCGCGATATTGCATTCGCGGAATAGTATTCGCTATTATGGATTCGCGATAAAAGTTTCGCGAAAAAGTGTTTCGCGATAAAAGTTTCGCTGAATTGACATGGAACCGGTTAGCATATAGCCCTGTATTAGAAATTGATCTAAGAAGTTGGTTTAGAAAGTCAAATAGGATTACTTGTTTAAACAATGAAGATTTTTTTGATCCATTCTATCTACAAATATCAAAATTTTTCACAAGTAAATTTTGTAATTTTTATGCATAAAAAATCTTTAAGTGAAAGCACATTAAAAATTTTTTTCAAACTCTGAAATACTTGCAACATTACAACTGGATCCAGGATCCCGTCGGTTCTGAAAAATGTTTTTCTTTTCTCTTAAAATGTAATGTAAAATTAAAAAACAAATGATGTATAAAATATTGTCGATTTTGAATATATTCATTTTAGAAATATTAAGAGTTAATAAGATGTTTTTTTATTGGCCTGGTAATTAAAAAATTTAAGATCCGCTACAATGAAAAAATTAGTTTCAGTTTATCTCTAGAGAAATATACTATATCCATATTAAATCACTAATATAATATATAAAAAATAAATCTATTAAAAAGTATGAATATATATATAATTATCCTTATCTGAAACTAAATCTAATTTGCGACTATTTTTAATAGACTAAAATTAGTAATAGAATCTTTTAAAATTAACCAAGAAAACGAAGAGTATAAAAATAAATAGATTACGAATTTCAAGATGAACAGAATCTTATAAAAAATGATTATACAAATTTCCGAATAAACATAGAAACAATTTATATGACATTGTTATTCAGTCTATTTCGGAGATTAGGACAAATATCTAATATTTTGTATTTCTTTACAAAATAATTTATTAAAAAACACGCCCAGTGATAATTTAACATAATTGCCAAATTTTGGAGAGAATTCTTACAGGCGATACTTAAGAACATTGATAATAATTTTTATGTGGACCTTTAATTCTTAAGTTCAACAATCAAATTAAACGATAGATCAATTGATATTTTAATTCGTTCACATAAATTATCATCTATTTTTAAAATTTTTTATATATCAAGAATATTAATTAACACCCCCCCCCCCTATAATAGCGAGGGTTGAATGTAATTTTTTCCATCAAAATAAACAATGTCTTTGCTCCATCGTTAAGCGAAATAATTTATTATTACTTTCTATTGAAAATGATTTATCTAATCTAGAATAAGTATAGACAATCTAGAATTTTTTTGTTAATATAAAGGGGAAATCATGCAATATGTTCTAGAGCCTGTCTGACCCATCCCTAATATTTTTTATATTTAATTTATAACCCATTTTATTTTATAAAAATCAGAGGATAAAACCACAAAAATTCCGATCTTTTTAATCTAATTTGTCAGTATCAACGCATAGTGTTAAGGTTGTCAGGGTAAGCATATTTTTAAAACTTCAAATATTCAATTTCTCTATATTGACATTTTAACACATTATTACTTAAGCTAAATTTAAATAGCATAATACAGTAAAATAAATAAAATGTAATAAATAATTCTAATATATAATAATAGTTATTTTTCTTTTAAAAAATATTAATACAAAATACAATCTTATGGTCATGATAATAAATTTAAATGATCTTCAAAATTTTATGGCAACTTTTACAAATTTTGACTGGCTTTAAAATTTTGAGCCTATCTATTTTAGATTCGTATTTCAAACACCTGTAGAGAATATGTAATAAAAAGTTAAAATGAATTATAATTTACCAAAATTTTCAATGTAATAAGAAATATTTAGCCTACTCTTATTTATATAATAGGGTTTGTATCATTTAACAACGAAACACGAAACTATTTTACTTGGAACAAAATATCAGGTTGCAATTTTTACACCGGAATTGTTTACGTTCGGAAAAATTAAATATGGCATTGCAATCTTGACAGACCACTGTCATTTTGTTGACTATTTCTGAAGATAGTGTATTGGAATCGCTGTCATTAATGTTGGATTTACCGTTAGGGTTTTCGGGACCATTTTTGAGCCACTGTTGATTAGCAATGTGAGACAAATTAGTGGGAAGGTTCCAAGCGTATATGCGACCTTTGCCATCTCCACAAAATACGTGCTTATGATCTCTATTTTAAAAGTACCACGTTTTATATGTTATTAACATCGATTAACGAAAAAAAATTGACCCTCTTAAAAGATTTATTAAAACTTTAAAAAAAGATAAACGATGACAACTACTCAGAAATTGATATCGTCTCTTTATTCAATAAAATCAAAAATGTTACGCTTCAAATTTAAAATACACATTTGTGAAAAAAAAATACGAATAGAATATTTGCACTAATCATATTCAATTCGTATTTTTTTAATAATATTATTCGCATTCGTACGAATATAAAAACATTACCCGATTTGATAATTAAATACTAAATATTTCCAAAAATTATGGATTATTAAAATTTTAAAAAGCGATTAACATATGTGAAAATAAAGATAAAAAAGTTCCGCAAGGAACACAAATAATTTCGAATATTTAAAAGTATTCGATCGATTAATTAAAAGTATTCACTCGATAATAAAAGTATTCGATGAATAATTTTTTCCATTATTCGTATTTAAATAGAATAATTGTGTTATTAATACTCTTAAAATACGAATTGAATAACGAATATTACATTTTAGGTATTCATGTATAAGATTATAAATTCTGGATTCACCAAAAAATATTCAGATTTTGAACATATTCCAAGTAGTTGCCTACAAATTATTATAAACATCAAAAAGATTGATAAAGTATCAAACGAAAGGTTATATAAACCCACAGACAGGAAGCCTATAAGACTATGACCAATAAAGATAACTATTTTTCACTGGACACCAAATTCGATCAAATACTTTATCTCTTTTTACAATTTTACATTCAAATTATTTAATAGTGAATTACCCCATTATTCAGTTGACCAGATTGAAACAAAATAGAAATGAATAGAGGAATCGGATATATAATATGTAATAAACTACTTGGATATTGCCAAAGCGGTCACCGGACAAATATCGTTTGCCGGGGATATCATAATGTATTTCAGGACCAAGGTGGGAACCCACTGATGATTTTTGAGAGCCACATTTGAATACTTATCATCACCCAAAAAGGGAATGTGAGAACTGGGTGGCTTATTTGATGGGGAGCAGTAGTATCGATAATAATATGCTATAGGAACGGAAGATGAAAGAATTTGTTCATGGTATTTTTTAGCGGATTCAATATCTTCGACGGTAAAGGATTCGAAGTCATCTTTATCATCGGGAGTGGTGTTTTCATTAATTATTTTGATGATGGGATCCTTATAATCATAATGACTGGTTGGTGCCACATAGGAGTCGATTGTTTTTTGTTCTTCGATACAGGGTACTAAATCATCCGTTTTATCTAGAACCTCGGTTTGCTGGGTATTGCTCACTACAGAGTTTTCTTCATCGGGATTAGTAGTTAGGATATTTGACTTGAGGATATAATTATTGGACTGGGTAGCTTTGAGTTGCAATAACGTCGTATCATGCGAATCCTCAGTTTGTTGGGATATAATATATTCGAGCGCTAAAATCTTTAAATATATATTTTTTCAAATTAAAATTCTTATATAGTGTAAAATAAATAATCTAAAATGAACCACCATTTATAAAAATTTAACTTATCTCTACATTTATTTTAAAAATATTTGAGAAATGAAGAAAGTAGAATCAATAAAAAATTCACCAACGATAGATTTATCTAAATTCTCAATAGCGTTAATTTTTTTAAAAAATGCATGTAATATTTTACTCGGACCAAGCCGTCATTTGAACCCACAAAGATAAGATTAATGGGATCCCATTCCGTGTAATGAGTCATAGTTGTGCACAAAATTTGACAATTTTTAAAACCTTGCTTTATTTTATCGAATTTCTATATGGTGCGTTTGATTGGATAAAAAGAAAACCATTCATTATAATCATAATACAATAAAATGGTATGAACCACGTTTCAATTCTATAGAGAAGGTCAAACGTCCGTCCTAGAAGTATAACAAATCTTTGAACCTATCCAAGATTAGCGTCTTTTAGGTGCGTAATCTAAGTATTTTTTGGTGGCCAAATTGTTAATTTATAAGCCCGAGCCCAGACGGACTTGCAGGGCTTTAATTTTAGGCGTCCTCAGGACGGACAGATAAATTAATTAGGATAAAAATGTGCATCCTGTCCCACGTAGTATAACGTTTTGAAACGCGTCCCATTCTACGTGACGTTTGACCTACTCCATTTTTCTTACAATCTTTAGTGTACGTAAGATACAAATAATATAATTAATAATCAAAACCAAAGTTATTTATAGTAGGTATCCATTTATAAATAGACCTCTTTGATTTTTATTGAGTTATCCCTTTTCAGTTGGGTGTATCCTATTATATATTGCTCGTTTGGTAAGGGAATGCCGTTCATATCGGAATGTGATATAAATTGACCATTGACGTTCCATAGATACACATCAGATCCTGCGCATGAAATGATGTCACCTGAACGCAAATATTTTTTTTAAAAAAGAGTAGTGATGCATCCATTTTTTAATATCGGATCGGTCCTATCATAAGCTTTATAAAGAATATAGGGTCTCAATCTATATTTTTTTAAATTGGCCATGCGATAAATAAAAATTTGTTATATCAGCTAATTTCTTTTAAAAAATTGACATAGCCCATTACTTAATATTATATTTATAGATATATTTTGGGTTTATTCATTCCGCATTAGACATTTTCCCTATAATGTTATTTTTAATAATAGGATCGAATTAATACAGGTTAAATCATATGAGATTGGCTATCTAATATTAAAACATCTTTTTAAAAATTATTTATCTATCTATCTACTTTTTTTGTAGTCACTACAGCATTAATTTTTCTTTCTTTTTTTCTTTTAATGAATATTTTTTTAAAAAAATATATAACCTGTTAAGTCGTTTATATGGAGAGCCGAAATTGGGGAAGTGTATTGAAACATCTCGCCCTCTTCCATGATATTCTTGGCGTCATTGTCGCCAGAATCGTTAAAGGAATTATTCTTTAGGAGGCCCTTATTTTGATGTATAAGAGGAGGTATAAGTTGTTTAACAAAAGAGAGTCTATTGAGATCCCAAAGCAAAATTGTTCGATCCCTAGAACCGCTGACCATAACTTTGAATGTTTTACTAGCTGCCAGACAGGTTACAGCCTCATCGTGACCGTACAGACACTTAACATTGTTTCTTTCAGAAGCGGTACCAGTTTCGTTCCTAGTAATAACTCTTTTTATATTAGAATAATTATTATCCCAAAATAATAAGTGTTAGTAGGTATAATACATTTGATATTTATACCATAATTGACCCAAAATAAAAAATAATTTTATATAAGTGCCACTAGGGATTTAAAAAACACTCATAATTAGGGAATTTTATTGTAAAATTAAATTAATTCATTAAGTAAATCAATAAAACAGTGGTGTATCCAGGATTTTCCTATAGGGGAGAAATTTTTATGGGGGCCTTCGCCCCCCAAATCCTCCCTAGGTCAGCCTTCGGCCAGCTATTTCCCGGCCTTCGGCCGGGTCATATCTGAGATATTCTTTTAAATTATTCAATAATAATTATATTAATCTTTTTAGCCTTTATTTACTAATTTGCGCTTATGAATATTTAAAGAAGAAATAAAGGTTATAACCTAATTTTTTTAAGTTAGGTATATTATATTAAATAATATATTTTTTTTTAAATATAAAATTAAAATAAAGTTTAGTGTCATATTTTTTTATAAAATGGCTTTAAAAACTAGCCTCAGCTTAAATTCTCATACAACATAAATAAAATAAATTCTTTTGTTAAAAATACTAATGGTAGTGGGTATAAAATATTGACTAGAAAATTTTCTTAAAAACAAGTTTTTATAACTTCCTAATAAAATTTTATATAAAAAATTTATTAAATACTATAATTATAATATGATTTTTAATTTTCATGGGAAATTTGCCAATTCATCAAGAATTTCGTTTGTCGTTGGAACCAAATCTCTGTGGATATTTAACAGAGCTAACCCATTTAGCCGAGATTCGGAAGTAGTATTTCGTAAATAAGTTTTCAACCTTCTCAAGTTGGAAAGGTCCTTTCATTCGTACATGTTGTAATAGGCAAATATTCGAGAATATAAAACAACTTCAAAATATTTGGAAATTGAGCCAAGGTTTCCTTACACCGATATGCTTAGGTAAAATAGCCAAACGTAGTAAATATTTATACCACAATTCAAATTCACTGATTAAATTGATTTCAGTATCTATATCATTGGAATAAAATTTTGCTAAATATTTAATTTTACCAATAGTGGCATCAGAAAATGAAGAAGGGTCTTTAGGTAATAAAATTTGAAGATTGCTAAGACTTGTTTTTTTATCTAAAACCGTACTTTAATTTGCGATAAAAAAGTATCTAAGAATGGGATGAAATTTATCATATACTTCAGTTGAGTCAACATTCATAGTACATCAATTGTCTAAGTGCTAGACGAGGTTAATTAGTATTATATCATATGATTTAGCTTTCGATTCAACGTCTATAAATATTATGAAAATATTCATCTACATTCATTCTTATTTACCTGTTCATATACATTTTCCACCAAATCCCTGAACCAAATCTAAATTTGGTTTTTGTAAATTTCTACAAAGTAGTGAGCTGTAGGAAGATAATTTATTAATGCAACTAGCAGCAAAGATAAACTCTGATTGATATTGCAAAATTTTGAAGGGAGAGGAGTGGGGTGGGGGTAAAATTTTTATTAGCTTAAAATGACATTTATGAAAACAGTCAAATTTGCGATGGGGGGTGAAATCCTCCCCCCATTGGTTAAACGCCTGCAATAAAATAAAGTAACATATTTCGGGTACTTAAAATTGTTACTTAACTTCAATCAATTTGTAAAAAAAATCCGAATTTTTTTTATACATAATAAACGAATTAAGAATTTAAATATAGGTAATTAGAGCTTTCCATATATTTCGTAAATGATAACCATCTTTTAGTTAAAATCTTTTGGCCTTTTTATAATATTGATATATTTCCTTATAACTTCTAGGAAATAATTGAAATTTTGAGTTTTATATTATGGTAAAAAAATTTTATCAAAATTTCCAAAAACTCAAAAATAAAATTAATTATCTTATAAAAACACGAATTTTTTAATAATCTCAATTTAACAATATGGGTAGGTTATAAAATGATTTTGATAATGAAAATTTTTAATAAAATTGGTAGCTAATATTTTGTATAAGGATAGTAGTAGAAATAAAATATATTTATTCTCAAGGATGGGTTCTTTCATTCTTAGTGGTCACTGTCATACTTTATGGAGGTTTTATTATTACCTGATAACGCCATCGGAGCCTCCAGTTATAAGTAGAAGATTATTATTATTATGGCCTTGATATGGATCCGATTTCGAATTGGAAATTGCGGCTGTTTCCTGGTGATAAAGAGCAACGCAACAAGTTATCTCCATAAATACCCCTAAAGTGATTCCGGGAGAACAATGACAATCAAAGGGGATAATATTGACGTCATTGTATTGAGCCTGAACCATGTAAGGATCGAGATGGTGATGGGAAAGATTAGGATGAACCATATTGGTTCGGTAATTGGAGATCGACATGGAAGCGGCGTAGGTGGAATATGTCCCGGCGTAGGAGTTAGTTTGTATGCTATCGGAAAGATAATGATAAAGGATGGATTTGTCCGGGTGGCCCCAAGATAAAACCACTACTATAGTTTTTTTTATCAGGCAAAGAAAGGGTATTTTATATCTTGAACAAGATTATAACTTATTTGGTAAAAATAAAGATACTTATACATATTAATATATCACTAATCTAATTATTTAAAACCTTTCGAGTTGGCATCGAAACACAGAGTTTTATTTTGCTCGACAGCTAAAAACATTGAGTTTAGATTGGATATGGTGTTCTTAATATCATCTATAGATAAAATTTGGCCAACAGATCCTTCCCTTAATTCTAAACGCATATACATTTTTTTTTAAATTTAAATTGATTTAATGAAATTAAAATTTGTATATTATATTAATCACAATATAATATTAAATAAAATTATTTTATTAAAATCTAATAAACCGGAGTGTGGCCGATAATTATTGCCACACCAGGCCACCGTCGATTTTTAATGTGGTAACGATGCGACGTGGAAAATTTTTATAATGCTATTTTAATTTAATAGCATATGCATCATTTATTATTATATTAAATTATTATTTTTCACATTTGAATATTAAAATTGAAAAAAATAAATATGAATTTAATTGAGATGACTAACATGCTATGCATATCCATTTCATTTTCAATCATTCATAAAATAAATTTTAGTTGAATCAAACAAATTTAAAGCTCCCTATTTATAACTATAAGGCTCTCTAATAATAATAAAACGAGCCATATGTAAGTGTGAAAATATTTCGGTAAATAAATTTCGAAGAAAGAAAATAGTCAACCATACTTGATATGAGGGGGGGGGGAGTAAAGATGAGTTAATTTGGGATCATCATTTTAAAATTGGATTCATAATAATTAATAAATTTGAAATAAACGTATTAATCATATTAATTACCCCTTCCTTAGAAGCATAGGTTAATAATTATAATTTTGATTAAAATATTAGTATATTTTAGAAAGCTATTATATTCATTTAAAGCGAATTTTAAAAAGTAGTGGAGTTAATAATTTTTGGCTTTGATTAATAATTATATTTAGTAGTGATTAATACAGTTGGCATCTTATATAACAATGTTCTACACTAGTGATCTGCATCGGGCCTAATTTTTCACCCGGCCCTAAATTTGTTCATAAAAATTTGTCATGTCCATCCCGATCCCGAACAAAATCTTTATTTGTCCCAAAGCTCGACCCAAAAAAAATTTTTTGTCGCCCCAGTTTGGCCCGAATTAATTTAAATATAGAAAAATTTAATTTTTTTGATTGTAAAAAAAATATTCTACAAATAAAAATATAATCTGCAAGAATTTTAAAATATATCTGATATCAGATTTAAAAATTTAAGCCCGACCCGGCCTGAAATTTATAAAAAAATATTAGGTCCGACCCAGCCTGAACCGATCATTTTAAAAAAATAGACCCGGCCCGATAGCAGATCTCTATTCTACACTTCTATCATTTTTTATAACCTTGTTTAATTAAATAAAAAAAGTTTAACCACTTGTTAAAATTATTAATATCGTAGAATCATTTCATCTCCAAATTCGTTGTGGTGATGCGACAAATTTTTTTTTATATTATGTAACTTTTTTTGTTTCCCTCTTTATAAAATTCTGCAGTACCTTTGAATTAGTTATTTTATATATTATTATTAACTACTTGAAACCAAACTATAGTCATTTACTCCAAACAGGGATTAAGATAATCTTCATAAATTTGTAACATATTTATTTTAAAAATTCTATGTATTACCTTAATAATAGTAATATTTTATATTTTAGGCTGCATTCAAAGTGGAGACGGTTCCGTTTTTTACAACCGTTCCGTCAAAAGTCAATCTCATTAAAAATGATATATATATATATATATATATATTGATTTTCATTTTTAAAAAATTATAAGTAACGTTATAACTCTCTATAAAATTAGCCGGATCAAAAAGTCAAAATGTTTTGACTTCGAAATTTGCCGGATCCGTTTTTAAGACGGAAGGTATCGGAACGGACGCACTTTGAACATATATATCATTTTTAATGAGATTGACCTTTGACGGAACGGATGTAAAAAACGGATCCGTCTCCACTTTGAATGCAGCCTTACGCGGATATAAAAATTCCATGGGTATATAGGAAATCAAAATATTACATTATATTTATACATGACAATGTGCCCCGGGAAAGGTTACATAATAAATAATTATCACTGAGATAGCAGCAGGCAATGGTAAATCAGTTGATCAAAAATTTAGTATTGGTGGCAAGGGATAGAGACCTTTGCCCCTCCAAATGATCGCGTTGCAAGAAGAAATTAGGAAAAGTGTTGTGAAGCTTGGTGAAGTCTTGTGGGAAGGGGGAAGCGATCACTGCTCAAATGACTATGTTATAACAGAAAGAAGTTCGTGAAACTTTAGTTGGGCTGCCCTAAGATTTGCCATTTTTAGACGAGAATTTTATAGGTATAAACGATGTAATAGGCAGCTGATAGCTTTGAAACTTCATCAACATCAATCAATCCTTATATTTAAATGTTTAACAACATTATGAGTTTATACTTTCCCCAAAGAAGCGTAATTATTTTATTCAGATAAGTATCTTTATATACACCATAATGGATTTTTATATAAATGTAGTCTAAGGTATTGTACTGCAAGAGGCACATTTACAGTGTCACAACTATCCTGGCGAATCTTAGTTAGAGTAATAAGCAACTTTAGTAACGATGAATAGACTTAAAGAACAAATTCGAGCATATCACATCTATATCTTAAAGGAATTTGGACTAACTTAAATGCACTTTAAATACAAGATGTGAAATATGTATGTGTTAAAGGAGTAAGAAAAAATAACCATGTTGAAGGGTTTCGCCGTTCTTTAAAAAGTATATCATGTATTCCCATCCTAATTTATATCCTTTTATCATTGATACAAATGCAACAAGATATGGATACCAAATTCATTCACATAATAAAAAAAGCGACTGAAAGAAAAAATATTGTGTAATAGACAAGAATTTTTGCATTTGTTTGCGAGGGAGAAGAGAGAAAAACCTATCAAAAAATTAAACAAATTTAGATGTGTTTCTTTGTTTTTATTTGGCAATAATATAAGTACAAGGAATTATAGTATGAATAATCATTATATGAATAGTGTATAATTGCTTAAATAAAAAAGAACACGAGAAAAATAATATATCGTCCATTAAAATTTGTTCGCAACTACAAAGGCAATCAAGTAAATCTTTAATATCTAGTGTTAACTTATAATTGCCGTAATCAGAATTTATAAGAGAAGGATATCATTAATTTAATAACACAATTCCTAATAGTTTTCATGGATATAAATTTGGTAGAGCCTAGGATAGAGCTGAACGAGGGGATTCATTTATCAAATATGTAAAACTTGATTATATGTCTTAAGTTTGGTTTGATAGGGATATGCTCAAGTTTATTCTTACTAAAATTTTATATTACTCTTCTTTAGAATCGTCAGGATAGTTGTGTGAATCACTGCAAACTTCATATTTAATAATATACTCATTGCGGATACCTTAGCTTACATTATATAAAAATACAAATTTATGTCCTCTTCGGGGAATGTTAAACCCATATGATTGGCAAAGTTTCAGAACTATCAGCTACACTGAAGATATCTACACGCAAATGATAGGGGCAGCTCAGCAAAGTTTTTTGAACTTATGGCTATAACGTTATCATTGGAGGCATAAAGGTCTCTTGATCCCCTTCCAACGAGACTACAATAAGCTCCAAAGGCTTTCCCGATTTCTTCCGCTGCAAATTGATCATTGGAGAAACACAGGTACACAGGTCTCCTGATCTTTTGCCAATGATACTAAAGGATTGACTATTTTTTCTTTAAAAAAGTTAGGATAATATTGCATATTATATTGCAAAACGCTTCTTATTCTTGTTGACAAATACATTCAGAATCTGCAATTATCTAGAAATCACATGGTGCAAATAAATATTTTACCATTATAGTGTCTCAGTGCAGGGTATTTATTGTGCAGCCTATTCGAGGCACATTGGAATTGGAAATGTACCAATATAATAAATCTTATTTTTGCAATAATTAGATTTCCGATATGAAGATGGAATTATTATAATTCCATAAATTAAAAAAATATAAGGTAATATTTTTAAAAAAATCTATGTCGTAGTTTTATGTTTCAAATTATATTTTTGTTCTAGAATATAGCATGTGAACTGGAGTGGAGACAACTGAAAAATTTTGCTAATATTTTATTTGATTTTAAATATTTTACTTTATTTTGTTTCTTCCCTTCTTTTAAAAAATTATAAAGTGTCTTTGTTTGAATTAGTTATTATATTATTATTAACCATCTAGAATTAAAATTTAGCCATAATCCAAACAGGGACTGAGTTGGTGTTAAAAAAAATTATTTACCATATTACACATCTAATTAAGAAATGAAACAAATCTCATGTTAGGATATTAATCATAATTTTAATGAGTGATTAACCTTTTTTATTAATTTAAAAAAACTTATTAATAAAATGAGGAAATTTGAAATTTTACGCTATAATTTTAAATTATTTAAAGATTTCTAGCCTACGCCAGACGTAGATAACTCTTTTTAACCTCTTTTTTAATGTTTATTTTAAAAAAAATTTTGAATAAAATTACTTATATGTTTTTTAATATATAGCTTGCAAGCTCTTTTTACGTACTTTATATAATATTAAAATAAATCATTCTTAAATGGAAAAAAAAATATAAAAATACTTCAAATAAAATGTTTTATAAAACTTAATATTTAAATTGTAAATAATGTCAACATCATTATTGGCAGTAAAGCTTATAAATGAAAAGTAAGGAGACTATCGAATGAAACTAGTATAAAACAAAAAAATATAGGTGTTAACTCCGATAATATCAGATGTAAGATAGGATAACATGTCCATTGTCAAGAAGCTTTTAACACTCAGAAACGGTGTAAGCTATGTATTGACGCATATTCAAGGAACAAGTGTAAAAAATAAGAAACTTATTTATATTTTAACAAGGAGATAAAATGTCTTAAACAGTTCTTAATAAATAATAAAATATTTTTTTATACATGCATTTGATGCCAGATTATATCATAGGTTACTTAAAATCTATATAATTATAAAATAAATTTTTTATATTTTTAGTGAATATGAATGAATATTTTTTATAAAAAAACGTCAAATGTAAGGCTTTTTTCAGTCGAAACTAGCTGTCAAAAAAAGGCATATCTAATAAAGAAGAAACAATAAAAACACTCCTTGCCTCAAAGTGGCATTATAAATCAAATTATTATGCATTTTAATTTTGTTAATAACTTGATCGCACGTTTTTATAATAATAATTCTGTTTTAAATTAGAAGTGCAATAAAAAAATCCGTCAATATATTTTCGTACCAATTATTTTATATTTAAGAAAAACAAATCATTCAAATAACAAGAATCTTATAGAATTAGTAAATTATTATACGATTTATATTTGAAAAGGTCTAATTAGCATTGTGGGGGTCTATTATAAAAATGAAGAAGAGAGGAATGGAATATGAACATTCGGCTTGGTTTGAGCGATTTCCAGATAGTAATATTCTTATTTTATAATAGTTCCCAGTGCTCAAATTTTAACCCCTAAATATTAAATATTTGTTACAGAGGTACAATATTTAGGCATGCTCTAAATACCCCCCCCCCCATTTTTAGGCCAAGCCATTTTTATTTTTTAATTAGGCATGGATTTTTTAAATCTCCACTATATTTTGTATTTTGTAAAAATGGTTTCAAAAGGAGTTTGAAAATATGAGCAGTAAGTGAATAATTTAAATTCAATTAAGTGAGTTTCCATCTAGTTAATTTGTATTATTTAAATTTATTTTTAAAAGCTTTAGCCCGGCCCGAGTTCTAAAAAGAAAAATTGAAGTCTAGCACATGTGATTCAAAATAATTAAAAAGATAAAATCGTCATTATACGTTTGATCGGATTGATGGAGGCGAGTTTTAACAAGTCCAAATAGTGTAATATAGTGAAAGATCGAGAACCCAATAAATCGCTAGCAGATGATGCCGTGTGGACATTTAAGGATTCCATACCATCTTCCAATGGAAGATTGAAGGGATAATGAAAACTGTATATGTTTAATCTTTTGGTAGGGTGGGGCTTTTTGAACAGTTGACTTGGTATCTGTCCAAAATTATTGATAAATCCTACTATTGCATTTTTTTCCATAGGATCATCTATCATGAATATATCGGAACTTCCTGCAAAATATATTTTTATTTTATTAAACGTAAATAAAATTAGGAAATATCCCGCATTCATAGTTGGCGCGAATTCGCGGCGAAGTATACAAAATATATTTTTTTATATACTTCACCGCGAATTCGCGCTAGGTGTGAATGCAGGGTTAGCCAGGAATTTTACGCGAGCAGAATATGATCAGCTACTCATTAAAGTCCCTTCATTATAACTTAATTTTTAAAAAAAATTATATTACGTTCATATAAGTGGTGCTAATATCTGAGTTTCGTATTTGGTAACTAGGTAAAATGAAGGAAATTTTTTATTTTGGAAAGAAAGAATTTGGAAATAAGTTTGCACAATATAAATATAATTGCAAAATATTTTATTTCATATTTAAAGATATTGCGCATGCGCAACTATTATAATCCTTCATAGCATACTTAAAACTATGCAGAACCCAGTCATTTAAAAAAGTTATTACTCTAAATTCTTTTAAAATTTTGTCTGGATTTTTTTAATAGTTTAAAATTTTTGGATTTTTTTAGTAGTTTAATATTTTTAAAGTATATGCAAAATTAATTTTGATCGGTAGTTCATGAGTTATAATGGTTGAATGGGTCCGCATAGATCTCACCTCGTCATCAGTGTAACTTTTCTTATTTTATTGATATATTATGCATACACCTTTTTTTGACATCATTTTTATCGTTTATTTAATATATATTTTAAAAATGAAAGCTATAAATAAATTTAATTATAAGATATAGCGTATCTAAATCGGAGTTCGAGGAACCCTACCTAGACCTACGTATTAATTTATCATCTGTTCTAAAAAGGATTAATCATGATAATCACGACCTCTTCATTTTACCTTCGATTATTTCAATTTTTATGTATATAATATGTAATTTTTAAAGAAAATTAAATTTTTTTAAATTTATGCCATAAGGGAGTTGTTCAAAAAAAATAGGTGGTATCTAACATATCACGTGATACTTAATTATAAAAAATTACCTTCATAAAACAAATAGTGGAATACATTGACAGCTTCTATGGCCGCAGAATCCCTTTGTTTATAACTTCAATTTTTTATATTAAAAAAAAAGTATAATTAATTAGCAATAAATTAAACTGACACATCACATGTAAAAGTCATTCTTATTATAGTAAAATTTTAATCTAAAACTCTTGAATGATTTTCTCTCAAAATATACCGATTAAGTGCTATTTAATCTATTGAGGCAAGGTCTTATTAATATATAGAACTCGAACCATTCTCTATAAAGATTCGAGGTTCGGTTACGGCTCGCTGCTTAAAATCAAAAAGGTACCATTTAGATAGTTTTATAAAAATTATAGTTTATTTGGTTATGAAATCTTTGTAATATTAATCAGAGACCTGCAGAGGCATCATTTGCACGGCCCGGCCCGATTTAAAAAATATTAGGCCCGGCTCGGATTTTTTTTAAAAAAATTTTTCAGGCCCGGCTCGGAATTTTTTAAAATTATATTCGACATGGTATATACAAAAATTCACCTATGAGGTATTTTACCATATTTTTCAGCGAGTATTATCATTTAATAAGTATATTACATATTTTATTCAGATATTTAATTACAAATTGATACTATAAAAAATTTGTGCATATAACATTTTTGAATATAAAAGATTGTATTTGTGTTAATTTTAATTTGTATTTAAAAAATACATGGTAAAAAGCTAATATTTTGAAAATATTGTATTGAATTTATAAAAAATTATAAAACTGATATTTAAAAAAAATGGATATTTTGAGCATATACAATATTTTATATTGCATAAAACTAATAATCATAAAAATGAAAGTATAATAATGGGTAGGTCTATAAGTCAAAAGGCTTGGTAATACGAAAGGCTAAAAAATAATATTGTAAATAAAAATAACAAAGAAAATATGAGATATTTGATTGATTTATTGCTTTTTTTAGAGAAAAAATATTATAACATTACAAATTATAATGAATATCAAACATAATATGATATACATAAACGGAAAAAAAAATATATATATATATATACATTAGATATTTAAAACATAATTGTTTAATTATAACGAAAAATATTTTTTTTGTGGTTAAAATCTCAATATAGTTGCGATGCAAAATATAAATAAAATTAACAAAACAGTTTTTAATATATAATAAATAACTATATTTGATAAACTAGAAGGGAAATGGGAGTGTTTCGAAGAAACATTTGTAGTTCCCCTTTAGGATTCCAAATTGGACTTTTTGTTTAAGAGATAGGGACTCGTTTTTGACCCCTGTCCTTAACGAAATTCTTCTACCCAATTGATTTAAGAACTTTAGAGATTGGGGACCGGGGTTTCCAAGGACGCTAAAAATTAGGGGAATAAATATAAAAGAATTAGGGAGGAATCTATATTTATTAAACTTATTGGTTTCTTGTAGTTCCAAGGGGTCGGTATTTCCGTTAGCCGGAAAGGAGGTAACACAAGAGACGTCCCAGACAAGTCTTTTGCCACCGTGCCAAGACGTTAAAGACATGCCGTCGGGGCGCTTACCGTCCGCATTTAGGAGACCTAATGGCTCCAAACTATTGGGGAAACCGGCCGAAATCAAGGCTTTGCCGATTAACCTATTAAGGTTGTCGTGCCTCAGGAAACGGCCACTGAATTCGAGGCACGAGAAACAATGTCTAGAGAAAGGATCAACCTGTTTGTGACAGGCAGCACAGGTGTCCACAGAAGGGATAAGGCAACCAAGCCTATGGCCAATGGCAGTTTGAAACTCATCGTCTGTGAGTAACGTTTCCTTTTTACCACTCGGAATCGCGTCTAGCCATTCATGGCCGTTAGAGTTTTTTTTGCGTTTCTGAGCAGTTGAAGGTTAGTTAGATCGGGATACATACAAAGTTTTTCAAACGAGCATTGAAGCATAGGGACCAGGAAGCTCTTTAGATGACAGGAAACTGGCTGCTCGGAGCCTTGGGTGATTAGAATAAGCCACTCTTGTTTAGCTGAAGATAGAAGGGGATCGTCCAACTCGATAAGCGAGGAAATAGAATCGGCGAAGGATATTCGAGATGAAAGAAAGCACGCAATTGCCATAAGGAAGGGGGGTGAAAATCCCAGTCCACCCCGGTAAGCGGGCATAGAGGCGAGGGACCAATTGAAATGGGAAAAATTTAAGCCTAAAAGGGATTCGATAAAATGTTTAAATTTTAATTCGAAGACCTTAAGGAGAGTATTGTACTGGAAAACGGGGGAAGATTTAAATAAATGTAAGAATTTCGGTAGAAAAAGACATTTTTTGGCGAGAAAGAAGAACTGATGATTGGGGAGATGAGGAAGATTCTTGAGTGAATTGGAAAGGGACTGGATCAAATCGTCAAAAGTTTTTTGACAAAAGGAAGTTGAAAAACTGATGGGGGAACCTAAAAGACAGAGATCCTCGTGCGGAATGATTGTAAAATCTAAGGGAGGAATAAAATCCTTATTGTTGAGAGAGGAAATTTCACACTTTTTCCTATTTAGGGAAAGACCAATTTTCGAAGCTTCCATTTCAACGTACTCTATGGCCGACATAACATTGGATAAAGAACCGCCAAAAGAGCCATCGTCGAGATACCATAATTGAAGGTCTAATTGGATATTAGACTTTAAATTTTTGATCAAATCATGAATCCCTATAGTAAAGAGCAGGGGACCTAGTGGATCACCTTGCTGAATCTCCTCTGTGGAGGATATGGAAAATTCCCCGAATTTGAGTAACGAAGGGAATCCATAACAGGAATTAAGTAAATTCCAGTATTTTGGGAAATGGTGTAAAAAAGATGGTAAGAATGCTCTCCTATGGATGGTGTTGAAGGCTGTTCTGAAGTCTAACTTGCAGAAAACCTTATCAGCCTCAGTATTTATAAAAATACGCGCAACATGTGAGGCCACTTCACACCCACTTCTCACTCCAAATCCTAACTGTGAAGGAAATAAGAAGAAACTGGCCTTAGGCCGAATCCTATTTACAATAGCCTTGGCGACTAAACGACGAAAGAATGACCCTATGGCAATGGGTCTAATGCCACCATCCGGTTTGGTTAAAGAAACAAGACGTGCGCCAAAAATAATAGGACGAATACAAAGAGGAACTTCGCATACGAGGATATTATTGCAAAGTTCAGTTAATGCTTTCAGCAAAGGGTCAATAAAACCACTATCAGAGCATTTAATTAAATCCACAAAAAAACCAGGTCTGAAGCCGTCCAACCCACTTGTCGTCCTTTTTTTAAAGGACTTTAAGCACTTAAGTACTTCATCACAGGTAAAAGGAATAGGGGAAGAGGCATGCGGGTGAATGTTAAAAGGGGACGCTAGTGGATGTTTTTCAAGAAGTTGTTTAAATATAGTAACGTTGATAGGTCAAATAGAATCATCGGAAGACAATATTCGGGCAGCACAGCTAATATCTCCAAGATCTAATTTTTCAGAGATCAATTTGCAACGGAAGGAGTTGGGATTTAAAGAGTTAGATGGAGAAAATTCATCGATAATCGTATTTCCAAAATTGGACACTTTTTCCTTAATTGAGGCAGATAAGTTATTTATTTTATTTTTGGGTTTAACTAGGACTCGAAGACAAAAACTAACCAGGTCTAACCATAAGGGTAGTGAGGAAAATCTGAATTCAAATTATTTATAAGTGACGTGAGGAACCTTGAGATAGACTCTCGAGCGACTATAGGGATCCTAAAAAGAACTGGGGGCTTATGCGAATTAAGGAATAAATCAACAGAGCTTGAGGAACAAGCCGGACTGGGGTCATACGAGTGAGGAGCGTTAATAAAAGGATCTGGGCCGTAAGAGAGGGGAAATTTTCCAGAATTGTGGCAAGCGGGTGAACCATGTTTCCTAAACACGCCATTTAAATTAAGCGAAACTATTTTTAAGCATACTTGACAACAAGAGTTTACCATGGGATGGCTTTGAAAGGGAGTAAATAAAAAAATATATATTAGCGGATATAATTTTGAATGGAAGAAAAAAAAATAAGATATTAACTAGGGAAATGGGGAAAAAAAATCCAAATTGGAAAAAGAGGAAAATACATGAGCTATCCTATCAGAAGTATTATCGAGATTAAAGGGGTTGGTAAATTTAAAAAAATAAATAAATAATAATAATTATAAAATAAGACTAGATACACAAAGTATAAAAAGTTTATTAAGAACAAAAAAAAGGGGGGGGGGGTATAAACAAGAAAAAAGGGGGAAAGAAAAAATCAAAAATTGAAAGAAAAAAGAAAGATTATGAACAATCGAAATTAGGAGGGTTGGTATTTAAAATAATAAAAATTAGATGTATAGAGTATAGCATTATTAAGAACAAGATTAAGGGGGGGGGGGGGTGAAGGGATTAAAAATTTAAGAAAAATAATAATAAAAAAAAAGATTTAGTTGATGGAGTATAACTTTAAATGATATTATTGCATAACATGAGAACAAAAGAAAAAACAATTAAGTGGACGGGTAGGACATAAAATAAAGATTAAGTTAATGGAGTATAACTATAAATGATATGATTGCATAACATGGGAACAAAAGAATTAAGTGGACGGGTAGGGCGAAGGAATGCAGCAATAAAAAATGGAAGTTAGCAAAGAAAATTTTTGGGAAATATTAGGGTATAGTGGGAAGATTTGGCAAATAAAATGGGACATTTATAAATGACCGTAATAAAAAATAAGAGGTTTAACGTTTAACTTCATAGGGGAATTTTTCGGGGTGTGATGTTATAGGGGGGAGGGGGAGTTAGGAAAAAAGGAATACTCGCTAAGGAAAAATTAACTTCGCTGGGAGAATTTTTAGTGTGGAGTGAGAAGGTTTGGTTAATAAAATGGATCATATTATTAGAATTTAATTTCGTCGGGATTTTCAGGGTGTGGGGATATGAAGAGGTTTGGCAAATAAAATGGAGATTTAAGTAATAATCGGATTGAACTTTGTCGGGTAAATTATTAGAGTGTGGGGACGTGGGAAGGTTTGGCAAATAAAAAAAAGGATCATATCATTAGAATTTAACTT